CAAGCCTAGTGGTGGCTATGAGACACTGGATTTCGTACTCTCTGTCTTGGAACATGAATTTGTGCCCAAGCGGGAGTCGTTCTTCCTCGAGCTTCGGAAGGGAGCATCCTGGAGGTACTTTGATTCGAACGATAATCAAGGGGCCAAATTTGCCGCATTTCCACTTGGCATTGGCAGTGTCTAGACATGAACAAGCTTGACACTCTGTCAATTCATTAGTATTCCAGATTGGAACTAACAAGTCGCAAAGTTCATCTATACCTGTATTAGGCTTGACTGTGGCAGTGAAGGTGTCAATTGGTATTGCGCTAGACTGTAAGCACACCTGACATTGTAATACAAATCTTGAGAAAAGAAAATTACGAGTACTCTGACTAAGGTTTGCGCAAATGATTGAGTAGAGTTCATATACTGCATCGTTTTGTGCAGTGCCGTTAGGGGGAATGGTGCTGAGTGTCGCAAGGGACAGGCAGGCATCAAAACATGTAAAGGGAAAAACCGTAGGTACTTGATGGACCCAACTCCACCCTGCCCCTACTGCTGCAAGGGCTGCCTGTCGCACATGGATACTAACATGTGTTGGGATCCACGGCCCTCTTGATAGGAGGTACAATGCAGTATTCATGCTAGACATGTGACAACAGTTAATCGCAATGTCTTGGGCTTTATTAGCTAAGGCCGCAATAACGGGAGCATCAAGGGTCGGGAACCATTTGCGGCTGGATTCAGCAAAAGGAGAGAGAGAGGCAAACTGAGCTGGTTGGGACTGACTTTGAGTTTCACGTTCAAAGGATGTCTGGGCGGGGTCATTTTGCTTAGTATGGTCATCTTCCCCAGTGATATCAATGCACACACGCGTTTTGTCGTTGGCCGGGAGGACAGAACTGCGTTTAAGGGCAGCCTGGATAGGGGGAAGTGCTTCTCCTTGATGTAAACATTGTTGCTGCATCCTTTGAAACCACAGAGCCCACAACACATCAGTTATTGCAGCAACTTGAAGACCAGGGTTTTCAATGGAAGCAATTGAGCAAGAAAGTATCACTTACGAAGTTGGACAAGAAAAGACATGGGGCACCAGAGGTCAAGATGTGTTCCCTGAGTTGTTGCAATGTTTATTGTGTGCAAATGATTTGAAAGCCCAGTTTGGCATCACACAGATTCCTTGCGGCCGCTCACGCCAAGTCTATGTTGACTTGCTGCAAGGAGTTCAACCGCCTGTTGCCCAAAACAGGCCGCTACATTTGCTTCCTGATATAGAGGTTGCTCCCAGGCAAAGGAATCGGTCTGCACCCATGGCTCTCATGGACCTTGGGGCTGATGTTGAGTCATTTGGTGTGCAGCAGCACGGCCAAGTTGATTCCGTGGCTATCTGTGCAGATGAGAACCATTCTTTCGAAAGTGAAGATATTGGGCAACAAGACAGTATAGAAAATATTTTACGTTTGCTTGAGTTTGATGGCCGATCTGAGGACCCTGCAGTTCCGAATGCCGTTTTGCATCCTGCTTCATCTGCCCACGAGGACACAAATGCAGCCCCAGCGGAGAGCAACCAATCCGAAGCAGTGAAAACAGTGAACACACAGCCAGGAGACGTGGCGGCTGCTGCATCCAATCCAGGTCCTGCCCCATCTCCTGGGCAGCCCGTTGTGAAGAATTATTCGTGGGGCGCATTTCGCTTTACTTTTAAGAAAACTGGTAAGCAGATGGCTGTACAAGCTACATGTCCTTTTCATGCGAGGAACATTTCTACAGGCTGCAAAAAAAGTTTGAACATCAATCCGTTTACACAAGTCCGGGTAGATGAGCAAGTGCTTCTTTTGAAGCATTGGTGCAATCAAGCCAAGCAGTTTAGCTTGCAACGTGACCATTTGAGTTGTCCGCTACAACCTGCCTCAGTGCCCGACGCTGCTGTTGTTGAAGCCCAATGCATTCCAAGGGCAAGCCAGACGATGTGATTACTGATGTGGATCAGGATGCCGCAGCAAAAGGTCCCAAGCAAAAACCAGAGGCAAAAGCAAAAGCAAAAAACACTGGAAACAAAAAGCAAAACGTGCCTACAGGAGCAGCCTCTAGTCAACTACATGGCATGGAAAGACAAGCAAAGGTGACTTACCGTCAAGTTCCAGCAGCAGCACTTCCGGAGGTAGTGATAGCAGTGACAGCAGTCAGTCAGGAAGCTCCAGTTCTTGATTATGATTCGTCCGCTTTACGAGAAAATGTTCCAATCATGTTCAGATTTGCAGATTATCGTTTACGAGAAAATTTTCGAATCATGTTCAGATTTGCAGATTCTCGGGGGAAGTTTTGAGGTTTTCTTTTCGTCAAATGTTTGTTTGCAACTTAACGGCCCAAATTCAGGTAGTGTTTGTTTCCAAGGAAAACATGCAAGCTGTTCATGCTATGCGTTTCGTATCCCAATCTTCACATTAGTGTGAACTAGCCCAGCTTACATCTCGTAAACGGAGCAATGGCGAGTGGACTGATGAGGAGTGGTCCAAGTGGGCCTCCAGAACTGGATACTTTGCCCGTCAACGCAGACGCATGTTAAGACATCCGCAGCCGCAGCCACCTTCCCAGAATGCTCAGAATGCAGCTCCGGAAAATGTTCAGCCAACTGAACATGCTTCAAATGATTGTCCCAATGATTGTGTCAAAAGACAGCACTCACCTCAGAGCCTCTGACTTGTGTGTATGAAACTTGTTTGATTGAGTTGCAACATGTTGCAACATTTGACATCGAAGTTTTGGTATCATTCTGATTTTCATCCATTGGAGGTTTCGTGAATCAGATTGCGTTGATGTGGCACAGCCATTGCCGCCGACACCTCAATTGGGTCCGCCCAAAAGCTCTTGCCTCTTTCCAATCCAGCCAGATCCTTAGCAATCTATTTTCATATTTTGTACATAATGGAACTACGTGTTCATGAAGAGAAGGTTATATTGCAAGTTGCATGGTTTAGTATCGTGTTTGATTAAAGAGCGATTTCAAGCTATGGAGGTCTTTCAGCAGGCAGGAGGCACACAAGTTCAAGCGCAGACCTTAACCATACGTTTTAGTTTTTGTGTGATGATTCATCTACTTTGCCTTTAGATGCACATACCGAACCGGCTGCAAGAATGCCGAGACCCGAGCGCTATGTGTGCACCTATATGTTTATACTACTTTAGATGCACATACCGGACCGGCTGCAAGAATGCCGAGACCGCCGAGACCCGAGCGACCTGTATATGTGTGCACCTATATCTTTTGTTATCTTGGATATTATTTATGTTTGTTTTTCACTTTCCGAAATCTGCAAAGTTTTCATCAACGCATTGAAATGAATTTCATTTCTCGAAGATGAAACGTTTTGATGTGCCAAGTTTTTTTTTTGTGATCCAATCATCAGTCATGTTTTGAAACGATCACAGGATCGGATGCATTTCAAGTCAAGCTGCAGCTTGCTTTGTGTCTACAGGGTCCAATGAGGTTATTATTTGTGCTTGAAAATGCAATGGTGTTGTGATGATTCATCTACTTTGGCTTTAGATGCACTGACAGAGAGGTGTCCGAGCAAGACCAGCAGCATCCTCAGCCATGTTTCAAGATTCAAGACCAAGACAAGGTGAATTTTAAATTACTCAGCAGGTCTTTCAACACTTCGACATTTCAAATCACCCAGCACGTCTTTCAACACTTCGAGAAGTGTAGCTGGCCAGCGGCAAGGCCAAAGATTTTTCCAATGATCAGATTTCTGCCATTGTAGAGTGCCGGGCCGGGCCAGTTTGTTTCTTTTTGATTATGATTCATGATTAAATTGATGAGCCACGTCAGGCAGTGAGAACATAGAAGCGGCTTCATCGGTGATTTCTACTACTACGATGTGGGGCTCTTGTTTTCAAGTGCGTATGGTTTTGTTTTCTTTAGCGTTTGTTTGCATTTGCATCAGAAAAGACACCAAGGTCACTTCACCATGCAGAGCCGCTTCAAAAAAATCAGACAAAGGCGCGATTTTCAAAACAATTGGTTTGCAGTATCCCAGTTGTAGTTGTAGATTTTACTAAACCATTGGCTTCGAGTCATTCCGTTGTGCGTTCCCTGCAGGATCTTGATCTTGGACCTTGCAAGAATTTGAATGAGATCTGGATGAGCCGGCTCAGCTGAAAAAATCTTTGCGCGATGGATTATTTATATTTGGAGACAATTTCGTGCAGTTGTCAGCATCAGTTGGCTTTGATTTGCATTTGAAGCAGTAAAAATCATTAGAAAACACATTTTTGATGGAAAAAATGTATGTTTTGATAAAATTCATCAAAAATCATCAAAAACTGATTGAACAATTCATTTTCTTGTATTTTTTGGCTTTTTTATATGTTTTTTATATAAATTTGTAGAAAAAATGAAAAACTTGCATTTCCTCGATTATCCTCGATCTTGCCTCGATCTTGCCTCGATCTTGCCTCTTGCCTCGATCTTTCCTCGATCTTGCCTCGATCTTGCCTCAATTTTGCCTCTTGCCTCGATCTTGCCTCGATCTTGCCTCGATCTTACCTCGATCTTGCCTCGATCTTACCTCGATCTTACCTCGATCTTACCTCGATCTTGCCTCGGCCGTTTATGCATCCGTTCTTCAAAATGGAATTTCATGAAAAAACATGTAATTTCATCAAATATTAGTCATTTTTGCCTTGAAATTGTCAAAAAATGTAAATTTTCACTTGAATTCTTCAAATAATGTGAAAAAGATATGTTTTTTTGGATTTTTTGTATTTTTTTTCATAAATAAAGAGATTTTTTGAATTTGTATGCAGTATGTGATATTTCTTTCTGTTTTAGTCAGTGCATAGCCATTTGTGAAAATTTGCATTTGTGATTTGTGATTGTTCAAGCTTCAGCAGGGATTGCAACTTCTTAGATGATGGCTCACGGAGGTCCATCAAGTTGGCATGAATTCTTTTCATGGCCGGCGCAGACTCTGCAGAGGTTGCGCCAGATGATAGCAGTTCCACGGGTACCAGACATGGTGTTCACCTCAACCTTCTCTGGTTTAGGCACAGCTGAGATGGCAGCAACAATGGCTCATCGGGAGATGACAAGTTTCTTCCGACCCTCATCTGTGACCCACTACTCTGCATGTGATTCAGAGGTGAGCTGCCAGTCCATTTTGTGCAAGATGGATTGCTGCCATGTGTTTCGTGATGTGAAGGAGTGTTTTGATAGCACTGTGATGCAGCTATTGACGGAATATGTGCAGGAGCGCCATAAAGAGGTTCAGCAAATCAAAGACAAGGTTTCTAGGAAAGCACGAATCCTTACTGCCGGAAAGGAAGTGTGCAGATTTGCAGCGGATCTACTGAGCAGCCATCCGCCCCAAGAGACTGCATATTGTGTGAAGTGCAACAAAATGTGCAAACGATTTCCATGCAAGAAGATGTTGGATAGTTATTCCATTTGGGTTGAAGGTGGTTCTGGCAGCCCTTGCTACCCATGGACTCCAGCTGCCTATGGAAGTCAGTTGAGGTGGCTGCACCCGGAAGTCAGTCCTGTTTACTTTGCATGGCTCTTCAGCTTACTCAATGCCGAGCCCAGCCCAGATGCAATTCTGCATGAGAATGTTTCAGGCTTTGATTGGGAGTCAATGAAGGAGCTTGTTGGTAGCAAGTATACCCTGGAGACAATTGTTGTCTCTCCAGAAGATTGCGGGCTACCGGTAGCGCGACCACGCCGCTTTACAGCTTCTTGGACAAGACACAAGAACTTGCCTACCATGAACTACCATGTATTTGAGATTTGAGATTGTTTGGTAGGCCAAAAAAGGATGTACTTTCTTGCCTTTGATAAAGGTCCTAAATGCACATCTGTTTCTTGGGATTATCATTTGGGGATACAATGGAACCACAATTTTGTAGCCAGAGGTTTCCAAATAGCAGGCTAGGATGGGCATTCCATAATACATCTCCACGAACCTAACGTATTTCATTTACTTTTCATGGTGCATTGTTCACATGTCATAGACAATTGAAAATGTGAACGCTTTTTGCCCAAGGTGATGCTGCTCAAACAACATCAGAAGATGATGCCTTTCGATCGTGATTTGTGGACTGCGGCTTGCTTTGCTTCAGTTCAATGCGATGCATCTGTTTTCCTGAATGCCGATGAAGAAGTGTTGCGGAAGGAAAAAGAACGATTGTCTGTCAAGAAGTTTTTGCCTGCTCAGGATGCTCACCGCTGGTCTTGGAATACTTTGCTCACCGGACGAGAGAATAGGCTGGTCCATGATCGAAGAAATCAGGTTAGGCAGATGTCTAGTCATTTGAGACCCAGGACTTGGTTCAACAACACGTCCCAGAATTTGGAGTACCAGCCGAGATTGTCACTTGAGCTCCGCAGTCCAACTTTGATGACAAGCACAAAGCTTTTTGTTGATTACCTGGACAGCCCGTATGATGCCCGACCAGTCCATGCTTTGGAGCTCTTGGCAATGCAAGCATTGCCTCTCTTTCTGCCACCTCCCAATGACTGGTATCAAAAGATCATTTTGAATTCTGGCCTTGCGGATCGTTCTTTGCGAAAGATGGCCGGCAATGGAATGAACCTGTGGGTAGTTGGCCAGTGTTTGCTTTTGATTTTGGGAACTGTTGCTTGGGAACCCAAGCGTCCAAATTTGAAACGAAAGCTTGCCATGCTGATGCATGATGCAGAGCAGTCCGAAACGGACAATCCCTGCAGTGACTCTGATGTAGAACCAGAAGCTGGTCCGATTTGAAATGCGTTTCAGTAGGACCTTCTTTAATGACGCTTGCAAACAATCAGTTCAAGCCTTTAATTAACATGTGGATGATTTGGTTGATTTCTCAGCCACAAGAAAAAAGTGCACAATGCGAATCTGTATGAGCAATGGTGATTTGATTCCTCACAGTGTCATGTATGTGTTGGACATGGTACCCCTCATTCTCCTCTGTTTCAATTTCAATCCCCGATTCTTTCCTGATTCCTGATTTGCAGTCAACGTTTTCACATTGTTGCAAATTGCAGCTTTTTCCTCGAGACCCAGACACACGCAGACTTTTTTGCATGTGCTCCCTTGCAGACAGCTTGGATCGAAGCAGTTTGGAGATGAGTGAAGATGCGTTTGCTGAGAATCTCGGGACTCAGGACAGCCAAGAAGCGCCAGATACCATGGCAACCATGGATCAGAAAGCAGAAGGTTTCCCAGAGGAGGTAGCAAATGTTGATTCTCACCAAGATCAGGCCGCGGCCAAGCACCCCACTGACGAGGAACTTCCGAATCCTGAGCCGCCCTTGAAGAAAACGAAAACGGATTCAGAATCCCTGCAAGTAGATGCAGAACTTTCTTTGGTTCTGGAGTCAGATGCTGGTATGATCTCTCCTGGTGAGGTTAGTTCACCTTCGGGCATGCCGCCCCCTCCGCCACCGAAAAGCAGAGGCAAGGGTAGGAAGGGCAAGGGTGGCAAGATGCATGACAAGAACCAGCTAGCTTCTGATGCCCCTTCGTCACAAGCAATGGTTCTTGCGGCTGAACTTGAAGATGAGATGGCACCTTCCGTGACGTCGACAGCAAGCAGGACCAAAGCTCAAGGAAAAGGCCAAAAGAAAGCTAGCAAAACCAACTCTAGATACTGCAAAGGTGATGGCCTCTACTACAGCCCTGAAGACATGGCACCCAAGAGCGCATTCTGCTTCAGATGCAAGTACTGCATGGATGTGCTGACAAAGTTGGCAAAATCTGAGGGACGTCCTGAATGGATTTCTGAGATCAAGTCCAATGAGAAAGTTCTTCAGAACGTAATCCGCAAGTACAAAGACCAGACAGGAGATGGCATTGCTCGGAAAAGGAATTTCAAAGGCAGCTTGATGTCCACTCTCCAGGAGACAGCTGCCAAGTCCAGAGTTCTCTATGACACAGAGATGGAAATGATGACAGAAGATGCCTGGCAGCAGTTCGCTATGACGGAGGCTGGCGGCAGATTGTCCAAGGCAGCAGCGACTGCCCAGTGGGCAGAGTGGAAGTGCCAGGTGGAGTCTGAGGATCCTCCCGAAGATCTCATTTTCGACTACAAGCGTGGACTCCGAATCGCCGTTGCCACCAAAGACACGGTCCACTTCCAGTCTGATTCTCGGCTTGATGAGGTATTTGTTGTAGGCGTAGGCTCTACTGCCCTTTGGCATTTTTTATGATCTGATAAGTTTATGTTTCTTCAAAGTTCTTGATGGTTCATGAAAGCGTGCAGAATTTCAAAATTTTATGATCACTGACATAAACCGTCAGGAGATTGAGAAGAGCAAGAAGCTGCAGGTGCGGGAGAAAGATTGCAAACAGATCACAGAAGAAGGTTTGGCAAAGAAGCGGAAGGAGCTCACCATGGACCATGACCGCATGTTTGCTGGCGATGACGGCCTTGCAGACAGCTCCTCTGCGTGTGTGGCTGGGCACCTGGTGCGAGGATCTGCTTCTTGCTCTGCTTCGGTGGCAGGTGATGGCTCCTCTGCGTTCCAGGGTCGCTTTCAAGAGGTGAATTGGAAGGAGTTGGAATGCTTGTCAAATGTTGCAGAGATCGCACCAGATGGCAATGAACCTGCTCCTGAAGTTTCTGAAGAAGGCCAGGGTGGAGATGGTGACGAAGAGTTGGGAGATGGAGCCAAGAAGAAGGGAAAAGGCAAAGGCAAGGGAAAGAAGCAGGCATGGGACAAGGAAAGGATTGTGGCTGCGAAGATCCGCAGCGATCTTTCTGCCCTTGAGGATTTGGAAAGAAGCATCAACACCAAGAAGCAGGATGCAGAGAAAGTGACCAAGGAACTTGAGGTGAAGAGCGCAGAATGCCAAACTGAGGTGGCAGTCGAGCACAACCTTTTGATACGTCGGCTTGCATTTGTTGACTTGGTTTTGGGTGAGGATAAATATGCTTTGTCTCACAAGATTCGCAGCCTCAAGGAAGCGCAGTCGGCACAAGAGGAGACTGCAACGGTGCCGTCAAAGCCGGTGGCCGACATGCGTCCTACTTCGAGCTATGAATCGTTGCTGACCATCGGGACTCTCCGCAAGAACATCCAGTCTTACTGGGGTTGCAATTCCTCTGCTGAGTTGTTTCTTGGATTTCATTTAATTTCATTGTTCATTGGTTATCGACGTTATCGACGTTATCAGTTATCGAGTCGACATCGATATATATATTTTTTCTTTGATCATGTTTCTAGACATTGTTGTGCAGTCTGGAGCCTGGGGTTTCGCTTCCCTTGGCCTGTTGCAGCATGTCAGGCGTGAACAAGCCAAAGCTAGAACCGCTGAGCGGAAGCCCTTGGTAGAGCTAGCGTCTGCAACCCGAGTCGCCACTGCTGAGTTGAAGAAGGCGATCACTGCTTTTGGGACTCGATTATCCAAGCGAGTTCCATCAGGAGGTGCCGCAAAGTCCAAGAAGGGTAAGGACAGTTTGCCTTTGATCATTGAGATGGGCATGGAGAAGGGAAGCCAGATTTCCCACATGACCAAGTCCAAGCTCAGTGAGATTTTGTCCGACCCTGAGAATGAAAAGAAGTTCATCGCAATGGGCAGTTGGAGCATGCCTTTCTTGATCAAGGCGGAGGACGATCAGCAGCAAGTCTTCCATAGTGAGACCATGAAATCTGCCCTTCAGACCTTCAAGCACGCTTTTGCGCACAAAGTTCAGCAGGACAGGACAGGGCCCAGCTGATTTTCAAGTTTTTATTTCTCCAAACTTTCGTTCCATTCCATGAGTAGATTACATTTTTATTTTTTTTAAGGTCTGTTTATCCAACGTCCAACATGTTTTGCCGAGTAAAAGATTGTGTTATAGGATGCGGCAAAGCCAGCTGACAAGAGAATGAAGACAAGGGCTGCCGCGAAGCTTCCGGCTGAAACAGTTGCCGAGGCAGTTGAAGCTTTCAGCAGCATCATTCCCTTGCAAGGTTTCTGCCACCTCCCAGATCTTGCTTCGAGCGGTGTGCAGATCTTTGGCGTGCAGTCTGATGGCTTCATGTCAGGAGCTGAGCCAGATAATTTGGCTTCCCTTCGCTACTTGGTGCAAGGTTTCCGTTGCTTGGTGATGGCTTCCGCTGATTTCGTCATGGGCATGATGGCTGAGGCTCACATCCCAGCCTCGCAGATGACTCCCCAGAATTGTTGGAAATTCTTCATCAATTGCTCAGACTCCCAGATCCAGAAGTTGGTGGACAATGATGAATTGTGTGTCGTGACTCAAGGGCCCGATGATTTGCTGTACTTGCCTGCCGGCATGTTCTTCGTGGAGCGGTCTCTTTGCGACTCGGATGTTTTTGGATTCCTCAGTCGCGGAGCTGTGGCATCATCGTTGGATTCTGGCTGCGCTTCTCGTTTGGAGTCCATCCAGAAAGGGATGAACGATGCCGGAGCAAACACAAGCAGCATTGACAAAGTCTTGGGCTTTTTGAAAACATCTACTTCCTCCGGGGCATAGTGGCCGCAGACTTCAAAGGAGTTGCCTGAGTTGCCATAGGCTTTTGGGAGCCTTGACAAAGTCTTGGGCTTTTTGAAAAATCCGGGGCATAGGCTGCAGGCTTCGAAGGAGTTGCCTGAGTTGCCATAGGCTTTTGGCCCATGCTCCTACGGTCGTACGGACGTCCTTGGCATTTTTGGACCAGGGCCAAATCTCATTTTTCCAGCAAGCCACTGCTAAAAAAAAGTTATGGGGAGCATGGGGGTCAATTTGCTTGAACAGTTTCAGTGACATTCCAACCGTCCAAACATCAACCATGTTTGCAGTTTGCACTGCGCCGGTTTTCTCAGCTTTTCCGGATCCAAACAGTTCCAAGTTCCACGTCAGCCATGGAGTGCAGAGACTTCCTCGCCGCCAATTTCAATGGAAATAAGTTGAGGACCTTCTTCTTACAGCTGATGATGCATTTGGCTACGTTCAAAAGGATGGCTTGGCGCACTGAATTCTACAATCAATGGAAAGACTTGCATTCTGGCACTGGAATATCTTAAACACAATGTTTCTATGACATATGATTTGTGCTTCGAAAAGTTTTAGGAACCTCAAACATGCAAAATGTGCAAGCGTGCTTTGAAGCTTACGTCAGTGTGACCGCACGCAATCTTAGGCACGATCGGACGAGTGTGAAGGAGTTGCACCTGGACTACCATGACAAAGCCCGTATGCCATGGGGTCCCTGGCACTATAAGGCTATGACCGGCTTTGAAAAATGTTTACACGCGACATGTTTGTTTGAATGCATTAATTGTTTACTGTGTGGGAAAGTGGTTTTAAACACCTCTTGAAAAGAGCGCAAGCTTGTCAGGCCTTTGCCCGGCTGTGCGTTCCAAGATGGGAGAGCTGGATGGCCAATCGCTGCAAACTGGGATCCTTTGTGGAAGCATGGATTGCAGAGACGATGCGCACTGGCGATGGCATGGACACCTACATGCCGGTGTTTTTGAGCATCATGAATGCGTTGTGGTTGTCAATGAAGACTCATGATGGTCATGAGGTGGACCATCGCGAATTCTTCGATGATCCACGCCAGTTCCTGATCTCTCATCTTCGCATTGATGGCTTTGTCTATGAAGATGGCAGACTGTGGGCACCCCAGGATAGCTTCGGCTGGTGGCAGGAGATTCTTTTTGAGGGGCATGAAATTGAAAGCCTCCTTCAATGGCTTTGCCATGAAAACCAAGAGAATGCCTTGGATTTCTGCTGGAGGGGCGATACGCTGCTCCCCCAAATCCAATTTCAATTTCAATAAGGCCATCAGTTAAAGGCCACTTTGGCCTTTGGCCTTTGGCCGCCTTTGGAGTCGGAGTCCTTTGGAGTTTGGAGATGGACTTGTTTTGGCCGGCCCAAGGCCCAAGGCCTTACGGAATTGCTTGTCAACTTGCAACTTGCAACTTGCAAGCTATTAATTTTCAGAAATCACTTTCCAAAGGCCAAAGGCATCCCATAAAATTGGATACGGATACATTACAACTACAACCCAAAAATTATAGTTTAATAAAAGATAAGCCTTGGACAGTGATTTTGACCGGTGACCATGGAATTTGCGCTGAAATGCAGCGCCGGAAATTTGACCCTTAAGAAGCCTTGAATCTTTAACAGGCTCACCGCGTCACCTGTGAAAACCAGTGACGGAAGAAGAATCTTTAACAGGCTCACCGCGTCGCCTGTGAGTGAGGAATCGGAAAAAATATTATGGCGGCGTGGAGATGGTTTTTTTCCAAACTGATGGAAACGTTAGTTCCATTCCATGTGATATTATTAATATCTCAGGTCCAGGTACTTGTCAGTGTTGTCAGTTTTCACCTTTGATTCAAGTCTTGGGGAACATGGGGGTCCATTTGCTTGAACTTGAACAGTTTCAGTTTCAGTGACATTCCAACCGTCCAACCAACCATCTACCATGTTTGCAGTTTGCACTGCGCCGGTTTTCTCATCAAGATTTAGGTTGGGCAAAAAGCCAGCTCAGTGAGCCATTGTCATGGATTCCATTTCCATGGACATGACTGAGGACCAGATCAATGGCAGCAATCTCCGGGTGCAGAAACGTTCCAAAATAATCATGGGCCTCAAAGCCAAGTTTGCAGCCTTGGGTGTTTTAGACCCAGATTTGCCAGAGCTGGATGGTTCAAAGCGAACTTTTGAAACCTCTGCTCAGAAAGCCCGCGAAGCCTTGCGAGAGCTTGCAGTTGCCAAAGCAGAAGCAGAATCAGAGTCGAGAGTCGCTTTGCTTTTTGCTCTTTCAGAGTGGCTGAAGGATCGCCCCACACTTTTCCAGCGTCCCAATTGCGATTGTGGCTGTGGCAGCAATGACAACCATGCGTAGCTCTGGTTCGCCGTGCAATATGGCGATGGTGAGTGAGTGAGGATGAGGATGCTGAGGAATGCTCGCAAATTCAAAATGTGGTTGCGGACTAAGCAGCTCTTAATTCGTCACTGGGCTGGTTGCAAGCTCGATGTTCCATTTTTCAATGCCAGTAACTTTCCCAAGAGTCTCAAGAGACTTGAATTTGTCCTTGAGGTGCTCGCTCAGTTCAGTATCGCATGATAGAAACCGCAGACAAGTGAGAAAACGCAATCTGCTTTACATTCATTCCGTGGCAGTTGCAGATTGGATTTGATTTCAGAGCGAATGAACCTGGGTCACTATTTTTGGATGTTGGTCATTTGTCTCCTGTTTCCTTTATTTATTATTTCCTCCTCTCCCAAACGAAAACGGAAATGGCATGATGGAAATTTGAGAATGAGATGAGATAAGGTTTGAGTCTTTGAGTTTGAATGAAGCGAGAAGAAGAAAGGAGTAGTGAAAACTGAAAATGCATCAGGGTTTGTTTTGATTCGATTGACAACTGTTTGTTTCGGGCAGTTTGGTTTGGTCCAAACCCAAACTACTCCGTGTGACCGTGTGGGAAATTTCACCCAACGTAGTTCATATTTTGGTCATGTTTGACAGTCATGACCCCTGTCTGGATGACAATGACGACATCATTGATGATGCTAATACTCGGCCTCAAGAGGCCCTCCGAATCCTCCAATTCCCTTTTGATGACAGTCGATGCGATACGCTGTTTTCCACTCCACTGCTGGTCGTGACGTTCCTGGTACACAGGTACAGTTGGACGGAATCTGGAACATTCGTTTTTCTTTCTGCTGTGCTGAGGACCATTTCTATGTCTCAGCTACCAATTGGGCTGCATGGAACGAATACTCAGAAAGACTTACCGATGACCGATCGGATTTGTCCCCTCATTTAGGGGTTGCTGTGCAACGGGTACGATTGCAAAGAGCCTAAGCCAGGCTACCGTACGACACGGCACCAGCACCAGGTAGACCAAAAAGTCTTGCGTTGCGTGCATGCCACCCATTCCATTCCATTCCATTACAAATTCCATTGACCGCGCCGGGGCGCCGGGACCGGGACCGGCTGAAAGAATGCCGAGGCCTTTTGTGGCTTTGCGTTTTGAAGTTTAAAGTTTTGAGTTTTGAGTTTTGACTAGATGTTCTTTCTTTGCGCGCATTCAGGACTGCAAAATTGTGAGTTTTTTTTGGTTTGTTGTGCTGGCGGTTTGTGGGCGTAGGGTTTTTTCCTGTGCAATTGACCAAAACCAAAACCCAGGGCCAGGGCAATGTTGTTGGAAGGGCTGGGGCAGCTGGGCAGCTGATGCAGTCAAGAAAAAAGCTGAAATTGCTTTAGTCCGACGGTGCTGTAGCGGAATCTAATTCAGTTTTGCTACACTGCCTTGATTCTGCAGGGACAAATGTCAGCGAGAGCCAAAATTAGTAAAATTTCATTGCCCTCTAGCTGAAAATGTGTTTTTTTCAAATTTCAGGGTAGAATCTGAGGGACAAATGTCAACGAGAGCCAAAATTAGTAAAATTTCATTGCCCTCTAGCTGAAAATGCGTTTTTTTCAAATTTCAAGGTGAATCTGAGGGACACATGTCAACGAGAGCCAAAATTAGTGAAATTTCATTGCCCTCTAGCTTAAAATATCTTGGGGACAAATTTCAGGATAGGATCAGGTGAAATATATGAAACCATGTTCCCAGGCTTGGCAAGGGAGAACCTACTAGGTTCAAGCAGCAACCGAATGCACCCCGCTTGCCCCAACAAGAAACAAAATCATCTACAAAACTGCTTGCTCCGACGGACCCAATTCTGGGTCCGGAAAACCTTCTCAAAACCGGCTTCGCTCAAAAGGGCCTCCCTAGGTTGCCCGTCCGGTCGCCATAAGCCACAAAGTTTCATTAAAACTAAAACATTGCGCTTCTGCAACCCTGATACAAAAAACTTGAAAAATGAACTTAAACACGGTCCCAAAAATGGGACCGCCTGGCGGTCCCATTTTTGGGACCACATGCACAGCTTAGTAAAAGAACAAAAGAAAAGCACTTTCACGGTCCCATTTTTGGGACCGTCTGGCGGTACCAAAAATGAGACCGCAAAATCGCAAAATCCACAGCAAAGGCCGACCCGTGCAACAAACAAAAAATTACAACTGCGTTTATTTTAAGCAACCGACATATAGAGTTGAAATCTGAGGCCGCAAAAAAGAACTCCAAAGTTCTCGTTCCATAGCCGCGCCTGCCACGCAAAGCAGCCGCGACCAGAGACGGCGTCACCGTCCAAGGCGACCAGAGACTACAGAGAGTCCAAGTGCAGCGCCTGCCAGGCAAAGCCGCCGTGGCGTCCAAGGCGACCCGAGACGGCGTCCAAGGCGACCAGAGACTACAGAGAGTCACCAATGCCGCGCCTGCCACGCAAAGCAGCCGCGGCGTCCAAGGCGACCAGAGACTACAGAGAGTCACCAAGTGCCGCGCCGGCCACGCAAAGCAGCCGTGGCGTCCAAGGCGACCAGAGACGGCGTCCAAGGCGACCAAGCAGTCGCGGCGTCCAAGGCGACCAGAGACTACAGAGAGTCACCAAGTGCCGCGCGGGCCACGCAAAGCAGGCGCGGCGTCCACGGCGACCAGAGACGGCGTCCAAGGCGACCAGAGACTACAGAGAGCCACCAAGTGCCACGCCTGCCCGGCAAAGCAGCCGCGGCGTCCAAGGCGACCCGAGACGGCGTCCAAGGCGACCAGAGACTATACAGAGAAGTGCGGCGCCTGCCACGCAAAGCAGCCGCAGCGTCAACGGCGTCCAAGGCGACCAGAGACAAGTTGATAGGGGCAAATTGATAGAGACAAGTTGATAGAGACAGGTTGATGCAGACAAGTTGATACAGACAAGTTGATACAGACAAGTTGATACTGATAGAGACAAGTTGATAGAGACAAGTTGATAGAGACAAGCTGATAGGGACAAGGTGACGGCGGAAGGGAAAACGAACAAAAAGTTAGAACCCCACACAACCCCACACAAAGATGTCGGGAAAAAAGAATTCCAAAATCAACAGCAAAGGCCGCCAGTGCAACAAACAAAAAAAATCACAACTGCATCTATTTCTGCAGGAGGTACCGTGTTCCCGTTGTGTTTTCACTGTCATTAAAAAGTATTTGACAGTTTCATGACACACCCCTACTCTCTTAGAGTCTTAACGTGGAAGGCGAGATTTTCGAGGGCCCCAAAGATATGAAGTGGACTCTGTCTTTTAGAGACAGTGTATTTTCATTTGGTGGGAAAACTCCATCTCATTTCTATTATTGTGAAAAAACATGATTGTTTGTTTCCTGCACGTCTCCGCTGCCGTGGCGCGAGGACCGTGAAGGTCAGCCACTGGCATCCAAATACCAGTGGCGGCGCGCAATTCCGAAACCATGCCATCAGAATACCAGTAGCGGGCGGGAGGACCAGGAAAATCTGAAACAAAGTCGTCAGAATATTATTAGCGGCTTAGCGGGCGGGAGGACCGTGGGCCATCCCATTTGCGAGTTACAAAGTTTTTAATTAGCCGGACAAAGGGGTAAATTTTTTCCGATAGTATTGTACACCCGTGGCTTCCCAAACCGGGTGTCTCCGCACACTCATCATCCAATGCTCACAAGTCAATCATCTGGAATCCATTGTAGCTGCGCGACAAGCGCCAGGGGGAAACGGTGAATTTCTTTTTTCTGGAGACATTAGGTTCCAATACCAGGGCCGCAAAACACGCCGTTTTGCGATGACGCGCCGTATTACCTTTATAGCAGCAAACATGCTGTTGATTTTCCCATGCGTGAAACTGCGCTGTGTATCTTCTGCAAGAAAGTCATATCTTCTTGACTATGTTTGGCCTGTAGACGTAAACATCTTCTTTGTTTGAGCAAATTCGTCGGCCTAAGTTTCCGTTCCTTCTTTGGTTGAAGTTCGTGGTTTGCTGCATACAGTTGAAAAGGATCGCTGAGCAGACCACTCTTCAATTGAAGATCATGTCTAGAGAACCTTCTCCGCATCTTCCGACAAAGTTGGCGTCCCGGAATTGCGTTTAATTTTGGGCCTTGTTTGGGTTCCATTTTTAGGTATCGTTTTGGTGCCCATGAATTAAAACAAAATCGTGGGGCTTCAGGGCAGGGCCCACAAATGGAACCAAAACAGGTTTCAAAATTGGACCCCAAACAAGACCCCAAAATGCAATCCCAGGGCGCCAACTTTGACAGTTTCATGACACATCCCTTTACCCCTTAGACACTTAACACCCCTTTACCCCCTTAGACTCTTAACGTGGAATGCGAGATTTTCGAGGGCCCCAAAGATATGGAGTAGAATTTGTGTGGAGTCATTGATTATAGAGGCAAAAAACAACAGTGTATTTTCATTTCGGGGGGAAAACTCCAACTCATTTCTATTATTGTGACAAAAACACATCGTTGTTTGTTTCCTGCACGTCTATGAAAATTACTCCGCCGCCCTGGCGCGAGGACTGTGAAGGTCAGCCACAGTGGCATCCAAATACCAGTGGCGGGCGCGCAATTTCGAAACCATGTCCTCAGAATACCAGTTGCGGGCGGGAGGACCAGGAAAATCTGAAACAAGGTCATCAGAATATTTTTAGCGGGCGGGAAGACCACCAAAGTCCAACACACTGCCATCAGAATACTTTTAGCGGGCGGGTGGACCGTCCAGGTCAGCGCCCATGCCGTCAGAATACTATTAGCGGGCGGGAGGACCGTCCAGGTCAGCACCCATGCCATCAGCATATTGTTAGCCGGCGGGAGGACCGTCCAGGTCAGCAACCATGCCGTCAGAATACTATGAGTGGGCAGGTTTCAACTACAACCACCACTACACTACGCTACACTCCGCTACATTACAGTACACTACACACAACTACGACTACAACTACCACTACAACTACAACTACAATACACACTACTAATTACATTACACTACACTACACTACACTCCACTAGACTACACACACTCCACTAGACTACACTACATTACACTACGCTACACTACACTACACTACATTACACTACACTACATTCCACTACACTCCACTACACTACATTACACTACACTACCTTCCACTACACTTCACTACATTACATTACACTCCACTACACTACAACTACAACTACAACTACACTACACGAACTACAACTATAACTACAACTGCAACTACACTATATTACACTTCACTACACGCCACTACATTACACTACACTACACTCCAGTCCACTACACTACATTCCACTACACTCCACTACACTACACTCAACTACACTACACTAGACCACACCACACCACACCACCACCACACGACACGACACGACACTACACTACACTACACTCAATTGTACCACGCTACACTACACTACACTACACTACACTCAATTGTACCACGCTACACTACACTACACTACACTACACTACACTACACCGCACCGCACCGCACCGCACCACACAACACCACACCACACCACACCACACGACACCACACCACACCACACCACACCACACAACGACCCCACCCCACCCACCCACCCCACCCCACCCCACCCCACCCCACCCGCGACACGACACGACACGACACGACACGACACGACACGACACGACACGACACGACACGACACTACACTACACCACACTACACTACACTACACTACACCACACTACACTACACTACACTACACTACACTACACTACACTACACTAACCACAACTACCACTACAGCTACAACTTACACTACACCACACCAGACTACACTACACTACCCTACATTACACTACATTCATCACCACAAATGCAACGGCAACTACGCTACACTAATTACACTATACCAGAACTACAACTCCACTACGCTACAACTACAACTACACCTGCACTACACCACACTACATCCAGCACTTGTAAATAAGGTGACCGACCCGTTGACCACTAAAACCATTGTAACCACTCCGAAAAACAGAACTCCAACCACATTTCAGTCCATCAGTGGATTCGCTCTGCCATCCGTGATTCACAACAACTCACCTCTCCTACAGGTTTCCTATTTTTAAAACTTCCACCACCGCCTTGTGCGGCACCACTGGTAAAAAATCAACAGAATCAAATTCAATTCAACAATTAGTCAAAGCAACAAAATCAATTTCAACGCGCATCGTCTGCCAGTTGGCAGAAAAAACACAAGCTGCCATGCAAAGTGAAACCGAACTCAGTAACTCACAATCAAATTCAATAGAAACACTCAGAAACCCCAAAACATTGAACGGTTATGTGACTGAATCGCTTGTTGCAGTCACTAGTCTAGGCATGTGCCAAAAACGTGGATTCCTGCCGCCCCCTTCAATCTCACTCTTCACCGGCCCAGACTCGGCTGATCTGAGCTGTGCTATATGTTTTGTTGTTGTGACTTTCAGCTGCTCCAAATTGTGGCAGTACTTGTGCAATTCTAGGTCTTGTAGTGTTGCCAATTAAAATTTCCCAAAAACACATGAGATTTTGCCAGATGTGAAATCAATAATCTTTATTGAATTCGGCAGGTCCGGTTTATTTGGATATTCTTTGACTTGTTTCACAAGACATAAAATGGTACTGTAAATCAATTGTCGATTTCGCGTAGAACTCTATCTATATCCAACCGGCTCTTTGCATTCTTTGCACTTGAAACAGATTTCGATAACATTGCAAAAGTGCAAATGCATCCAATGATACTCAATGTCTCCTACACTTGCAAATCACATGAATACAGGCTGATTCGTAGTTGGAGGTGGGTAGTTACAAGAAATGACGTTCGTGAGATACGTTTTGTTTTGTTCAACTCTGTTATTTTCTACATGCCATGGTCAAACCAGACCTGAATCATAGCTGTGGGAACTTCTAGAACAAGCAACATTGATCATGATGCCGGCGGAGCATGGTCGGTGTCCGCATATGCGGGTTGTGAACTACAACCTCGAAACATGGATGTTTCTTGGCCGCTTATTTTTTTGACAAAAATCTACCCGTCATTTTCTCCGTTTTTTTCGTCGCATTGAGGCGTCTTCACGCATCGATCCAGCTGCCGTTCGTGCGCCACTTGGCGCGACAACTAGCGGCGAAACTGGATGGTGTCGAGTCCTTGGAGGCCCACACCGTTCAGCTCGGAAAGGTTCATGCTACCCTCACTTCAGGTAGAGACATACATTACATAATATATATATACATATGCACATGATATATGATATGATATATATATATATAGATAGATAGATAGATAGATCGATGGATAGATAGATAGATAGATAGATATGCGTCACATTATGCATATACGAAATACTTTTGGGTCATGATGAAGTTTTTCTTTGGGATGCACATCCAACAAGGCTGTTTCAGAACTTTCCGAAATCATGTTCCGGGGCAACGAAGCCAGGCGCAGGAGGATGAACGAAACTGGATTCAACGAAAGCTGGACCTGGAAACAGCGTGCAAGGAGCCCTTTCTTTTGTTTCATGGTTTGTGGATGGAGGGGTTGTTTGAAATTGGATGTAGCAAAGACTTTTAAAGTGCCATGTGACAGTTGTTCACTGAAGGACATGGAAAGAGAACGCGCAAGACTGGAAGCGTTGATTCAAAACCAGAAGGAGCCAGCTGCAGTGGAATTTGATTCACCGCTCTTTTGAGCAATGTTGCCAGAATTGGTTTGAAGGTAAATCTACAAGAAACTTTTTCTGCGGGTAAAAATAAAAACAAATCCAACGAAAAATGGACACCAAGTGATATTTCTACATGTGCTTGAGCTACATCTCTCAACGGACATGCCAATATCAACGATGATGTCATCGCGCAGGCTGAATTAATGCGGCTCAAAGAGGAGCAACAGAAGCATTTGCAGCAGGAGCTCCGGTATTTGATGATTTTTACAGTGACTTGGTATTCCTGACGTTGCAGTGCTCCTGCAAAGCTGCAAAGTATAAGCGGATTGTAATCCGTTCATTGGGCATTTCTCCATATCTCAGCTCGGAAAACTCCAGAAGTCAAAGACTTTTGGTCTGGTTGGGGGGACCATGAAATCAGGCAGAGCTTTGGAAGCAAGAAAAGGCTGCAGCTCAGCGAAAATTTGAAGATGCTTGCCAGGACTTGTGCGTATCGGGTGTGAATAGAAAGGGAACCCCAAGTGACTTATATCTATGTGTTCGAACATAGGCTATCTAGGTCATCTACGTAGATGTTTTGACTTATTATCCAAGTTCTATGTGTTTTGGAATTCTGCTGTGAGTAGAGCCCCGTTCTTGTTTTGCCTGTTGTGCTACATGTTGATGGAACAGCTGGAGGGATCCGGGTCTTAACGAAGTGTCCTGGCCTCTTTGGTATCGACTGGGTCATGGCTTGATTGACCGACTGAGGGCAGGCCAGGGTTGAAAACAACATGGGTACAGCAAGGGTGATTAGAATTGGGAATACTTGGGATATGGGGTAACTATGATGAAATCTAATGTCACTTCTAATTGGAACTACACCCCAAAGTACTGTATTCCGTGCATTCTCTTCACAGCCTGCATTGAGTTGCAGCACCAGGAGCGAATTCGCAAACAACGAGAAGAGTTGAGAGTCCTCCAGGAGGTCTCAGCTTTGGACCTGGTGTGCTGGTTTTTACTCAGGGGTTTGAGGCTTTAAATATGTCATATTGTGTCATATTCAATGAAGAAGCATTACTGTTTGGTTCCAACAAATATTTTTTGCAGTTGTTTTGATGATATTTCTTTTAGATGCCCCCCTTGAAATTCTGCAACGATGTTGGTTTTGCGTTTGCGGTCCATGGTGAGGAAACGGCGCGTGTGGTGAAGCAGCGCCAAAACCTGGTTGAAAGCCGACAAGTGCAAGAGCAGGTCTGGGGATGGCTTGGCATTTCTAGAGACAGGGTCATCATGAAACGGGCGAACTCCAGAAAGTGTTCACCCCTGCCTTTGTTGCCAAATCTTGCAAATTAATGCACAGCTCAGCAAAATCCAGTATAGATATCACTACAAATCTATATAAATTATATAAATTATATATATATATATATCTAGTTTATATATATATAATTATATATATATATAAATCTAGTTATATATATATAATTATATATATATAGCTGTAGATGTATATATATATATACATCCATAAACACGCACACACACACAGAGACACATATGTGGATACAAAATCTCAGTGTCTATGCTTTGTGCAGTTCTGGGATTCTCCACTCGAGGCGCTTCGAAAGCAACAGGAGACCTTGCAAATCCTGCAGCAGCAGTGCAAGGTACGCTGAGCTGAGCTGTTTGGATATAGCCGGGGGTTCAATGACAAACGGCCAACGTATGGAATGACATTGTTGGATTTCATGGGATCTAACTATCTAACCAACACCAAATTGGGTCAGTTTTTTCCCATTCAAACACAATTTTGGGGTTGAATCCCTCTTTTCGGCAAACCTTCATGAACTCAAAACGTTTTTGGTTTATCATTCTTTTTGCATGATATAAACGGCCAGTTTCGGGGGTATGCGACATTTTTGCTCAAGCCTTGATATTTGGGGTCTGTATTTCTTGGACCAGCCATATCGCCCATGTACTTTCCTTGGGTTTCTGCATGAGGAGCTGAAGCTGGGAGCCTGGGAAGCTGCCAGATTCCCAGAGAACCAGGTGAGTTGGGTGCTGAAGATGGTTTTGGACCTGCCATTCTTCTTGGTTGGTGGAAATGTAGTGGATCCTGAAGTGCTAGGATTTTGGACTTTGTCAGACTCTCATGGCAAATTCGACCTTTCGGAGCCTGGATTGGATTTAAAGCTTAGAAAATTCACATTTTTCAAACAGAGAGAATGATCCAAATGTCACGCAGTGGTGGCTGTTTTGCTGGAATTCTCTCCTTTCATGGCCTTTGGCGCGCAAACGTTGATGGCGCCAGGTTGAGAAAAGGACGGCCGAACAGAAGGACAACCAGAAGAGGTGGCTCGGCTGCTGCAGAGGTTAGACAACACATTCAGCGGACTACTTCTGGGCGCAGTTTCACTGCTTAAGTGGATGTACAGCCAATAGCTATAGGGGCTATGTCCCAATAGGGATTATATGCGAGGTTGTACCCATCAACAACAGCAACTGCAACCCCAAATCAACCATTTATAGATTCTTAATGATTCTTATGAAATATTTTCCTATCATTTTCCAATTTTTCCCATGATCATCCCATATTGAACGGACAGATAGCCTGGCATCTGACTGTGCCAGGCGATCCATATCTTCTGACGGAACGGAGACTCCAACTTCCAGCAACGAGGTGCTCAAAATGGCGGGAGAACAGCCCAAGCTGTAGCAACTTTCATGGGAAGAGATGATATATATATATATATAATATGTTTTTTAGGGATTTTAGCACGTTGAAAAGTTTGAGGTCCTAAAATGTCCTAAATGGGTCTTGCTTGATTTGTTTGAGACACTCCTAAATGGGGTTGCCATAGCCACCGAACATCCAATCGTGGCTGCAAGTTTCTGTTCAACCTCTATTTGCTGCGAATTTTCACTAGAGAGTGCGTCGAGTCTGATTCTAGCCCTCCAGCAAGATGTTGAATAAGGATTTGACACCCGATCCTTTGACGTTCCTCGGCGCAGGAAGAGTCCGAGGCGGACTCAGAGAAGAAATCGGAGGAACTTTCCCCACAAGAGGCACTCCAGTTGGCTTCTGGATTTGAAGCTGCACCCGCTAGGGGGTGCAAAAATGATGAATATCGAGCAGCGGTGTATTCTCTTTGACTAGGTGTTCAAAATTTAGCAGCAATGAAGGGAAGTAGGACAAGGGCCACTTCAGCCTCATGTAAAATTCTAAATTGCGTCAGAACTTTGCAACGACTTTGGGCTCATTCAAAGGCTTTTCAGAGGAGGAACATCTGTGAATAGCATCGGTTCAGGCACTATCTCTATAGACAGGGTCACATGCTGCGGGTGCATTCCATGACAATGTCCTCCTTTGTGCACCATGTCACTCTATTAAAATGATCCAGCAAAAATTGCCAGGCGTAAAACGACTCATTGGGAATTTCAAAGAAAGCATCTTAGTGTCCATAGTTCTTGCCTTTCCACAACATGTTTCCATTCGCCGGAAGGATGCTCCAAATCAGCCTGACGTCGCTGGAATAATAATTGTTAGATACGGTTATTGAATGTTAGGGTAATTATCCCAAAACGGCCGAACTATTCAGGTTCTTGAATTATGATACATAATCTATCCAGAATCATCCCTTTCTTTGTTTGGTTTTGAATTATATGTAGCCAATTATAGCCATATAAAGCAATATATTTAGCCCATTTACGAGCCATCCAAGCCAACTTCAAAGGTGTTGTTTTGCCTCGGACTCTGATCCGATCAGGGTTCGGAGCGAAAATTGGAAGCTGCGGAGAGTACCCGTGTGGTTCCAGAGGCGACAAGGGTGACCAGAGACGGTGGATTCCGGTGGATTTAGCACAGTAACGCTTTTAACGACGGGAAGTGGGTGGTAAAGACTGGGGTATTGAGAATTTGAGAATCAATTTTACCAAGTGTAATGTGGGTAAAACAATGCCATAATCGCACCATCCCCCAGGAAATCACCATTTTTATAGGTGGTATTCCCAAATGGGTGGTTTATAATTGCTTTGCCAACATCTTGTGTGTTTTTTTCCTAAAGTGGGAGACTGGAATGGATTTGAATGTCCTATCCAGCAACTTGGGATCCAACTTTTTCGGTGGCAGTGTGGTTGCACCCATGGGCCCCAACAAGAGATCCGATACTGAACCGTTTTGCTTCGTTTGGGGGGGGTATTTGCTTTTTTTGGGAAGGGATTCAACGGGATTTTTCAAGAAAATTGATAGTTGACATTTTTCTAGTAGAACACATCAATTGAAAGGCCAGGATTTCTTCACAATTCCTGCCAGACTCGGCTGAAACTTTGGGCAGATCCCTCTGTACTCCAATGTTTCACTGTTTCACTTTGTGTTGTTATCACACCTCAATTCACAAAGATGTTGCTGGCAAGTCCAGCGGAGCATTTCACTTCAATCATATGATGACTTTCAGTTGGCATTTATAAAATACCTGGCCTCAACCTTTGGGGGCAATGAACATCCAGAATTACCAGGCTATTTGGATGTGAATGTCTTGGCCTCCAGGCAGCGAAAGATGCAAGTGGGGTCCAATGGGCCCAGCAGATTGAGAAGGCCCGGGTGGGGAAGAAAATCCCTCGAGATGGTTCCTCTCACCCGGAAGCAATAGGGTTCTGATTGGTGGTTCAAACATTGAACAAACACCCGGCATGAAATGTCATGAAATCAGCCAAAAGAGGAGTAAGTTCTTCCAAAATCGGGCATGTCTGGGTGGGTTCATGGTCCATTTTGAATCTTCCCTTGGAGGATACCTATTGACTTCCACGGATGGGTGAGTCCACCAGTATACCGCAAGACACCATCTATAGCAACCCCCAAATAGATAGAACGCTTGGAAAGCTGGAAATGGTGGGGAACACATCTAAAACCATCCTAGACTTCCGGCCTTTTTGGGGACCATGGGGACCCATCCAATGTGGTGAATGTGGTATCCAACAACAGTACGAAGAGCTACAAACAATAGTCAATAGTGGGAGGTTGCAGCTGGTTCCGCAATGCAAACCGTTGCTGAGTGGTGCGAGCCACACTTCAATGCGGAACCTCTGGTAATTTGTTATATAGCAATGGAAGCTATGGCCTGTTTAGTTCGATAATTTACCTATTAAGATTGTGAGTTTTCGTAGTCATGTTGAATTATCAGAAGGATCCAGAAGTAATGATAGTTTCGAAGTTGGCATCATTCCCAGTCTCTAAACGTCGAAATATTTCTAGCCAATAAACGATGATTGCTATCGGGGTATAGCTAGTCTTGGGACCCTTGCCAGAACCTTCAAGACTCTCCGGCATTTCGCAGGCAACAAGACCATACCCTCAACTGCTTAAGGTCTTTAACGACAAGGCATGGGTTGGCACCGAACAGATTTAAACTCGTTGGATTTGTGAAGGGCTTAAAACGGCGTTTGCCGTTTTTGGTGGATTTCGCATCACAAATTTGGGTTTTCATGGGATTCTGGCACAATTTTCTATGGACCTATGCGCTTGGAATTTGCTGCACCAAAGTTTAGCTGTTGGACGAGTTGCACTGCCAGGAGCCCCTTTCCGGTCGAACTTTGCGAGAGCCAGGGGTGGAGGTTGCGGGTGTTTCTGTGGGAAAGTGCCATCGCTGTCTTAGAAGTTCAAACAGGCTGCAAGACCCATGTTTTTTTTTTGATGGTTTGGTCACCTTATTCTTATGGGATCTTATGGGCGTGAGAATGGGCTATCCAATGAGAACATGATGAAAACATATGAAAAATCGAATCTGGGGTACCCGAATTAGATCTATTATCAGTCAATTTTTTTGGGAGATTCTGTGCCTTTCCGTTGCGAGGAGTTGAAGATCCGACTTCAGGAGGCATTGAAAGTGGGTGGTCTCGCTGTTGTGGCCAAAGTGTGTAGAGTTTGCATGCTCTTTTTGGTGAAGATGACGCATACCATTTAGTAAATTCATAGAGGAATAGGAAACCAACGGATTTACATATCGATGTTAAATTACCAGAGGTTTTCTCAACAAATTGTCATTCTAGTAGGGAAAATGATGATTTCCCCTACAAAGTCAGACAAAACGCACATGGATTGCGTGAGAAGCGCACCAGACTTGCAGGAGTGGTGCCACAAGCAGATGCTGCAAAGTCAGTTGGCCTGGCACTTGGCACAGGGACAGGCTTCTGTCATTTATAAACATCACTTTTTTCCTATATTATGATATGACTTTCTGCTGATTTGACAGTTTGCTATGGAACATCACATTTGTTCATATTGTAACTCATCAAACTATACTAAATAGGCCACTTTCCACAGCAAACTTCAAGCTAGCGGAGGAGAACCACCATTTCGCGACCCAAAATGGAACATGTAGAGGTGACATCACCATATTTTCATTTTTTCATTGGTACCACCATATCTTCAGTGACCATCCATGCTTCAGCGCGGCTGAGATGACTTCTGAGCAGAAACTCCAAGAGCTGGCCGGCGCTGAAGAGCAGCGCCAGGCGCCAGTTGGTACGTGGTAACCCAAAGATTTCATGGGAGCCCAGGTACATCTGGGTCAAAATTCACCTGCGATTCCTGGTTCATAGGGTTTGCAAATACGGCCCCAACGGGATTTCTTTTTTTCTTTTTAAACTATCTAATGATTGTATTCTCCCATGGGGAACCCCCAATCCTTTCTCTTGCTGCTAGGAACTGATGATCCGACTTCAAGAGGCAATGAAAGCGGGTGGTCATGCTGTTGGGCATGGCCAAAGTGTGTAGAGTTTGAGATGTACCCTCCAGTGAAGTCTCATAGGAACAGGGAACCTTTTGCTTTTTGCATATCATTGTCATTCTATTCGGGAAAATGATGATTCCCATCAAAATCTGAAGGGTTTCCCCTACAAAATCAGACAAACCGCACATGGATCGCGTGAGAAGCGCACCAGCCTTGCAGGAGTGGTGCCAGAGGCAGATCCTGCAAAAGCAGCTGGTCCGGCACTTGGGACAGGCTTATGTCATCTGTACACATCACCTTTCAGATTTTCCATGATATTCCCCACTATTGAAAGAGACCCAGGATGGAAGACGTGGAAGTTATATCATGTTGCATCATGTAAATCCTCAAACTATACTAAACAAGCCATATTTCACAGCTAACCTTTAAACTACCAGAGGGTAATCGCCTAGAGACCCACGGTAGAAGATGTAGAGATGACATCCCTATGTTTTTGTTGGTGACATCAGATCTTCAGTGACCATCCCATGTTTCGCGGCTGAGATGGCCTCTGAGCACGAGCTCCAAGAGCCTGGGAACCTGGGCGAAGTGCTGTTGGAGAACTCGTCACCGTTGAATCACGGAAGATCGGAGAACTTCGGATCCTCTACGGATTCGAACCTTGCTTGATTTTTTTCGTTTCAACCCATAAAAACATGTGCAAGATGCATCAAAATGCTGGATGTTCGATTTGGGGATCTCAATTCTCCAGGCTCCTTAGAACCTCACATTTTGGAGGTCATAGACGTGGGTGTAGACCGAGAAATCGTCCAGGCTTCGCGCCGTTTGTGCGACAGTCTCGGGAGACTGCTTCACGTTGAAGTCAGAGGTTGGAATGGTACGGTTGGGAGCCGGAAGCTGGTTGACCCGTGACGCATACCTCGGGGAACCAATGAAAAATAGAAAGTTGGATACAGGGAAATTATGGTGAAAACTTCATCCATGTGGTCCTGGAAAAACTTTTCTATCTTTTTTGGGAGGTGCTATCAGTATAGAATTTGTAAATCTACAGCCACAGCTGCGGCTACTTGTAGCTAGATAGAGAGAGAGAGAGAGAAATAGATTCTAGATCAATGTACAGTGTCTCAGCAGTGTATTTTATATACACATGCATGCACGCATGCATACATCCATCTATGCATCTATCCATACGACATGTATCCACATACTGTAGATATATAACATACACAACCAGGCATGCCCATGATGAAGCAGAATGTATCTAGTGACTCCAAACAGAACCTTTTTGACAGAAGTGCTCACCTGTCACGTCCTGGAAGGTGCTGCAGTTGCGCAAGGAGCGAAGGGACACCCTCCGGGGCATGGGATCTCCGTGAGAGCATCCGAATTGGGTCGTTGTTTGGATACTCCCCTAGTTGGGCTGATGGACCCGCAAGTGGTTCTTTACTTGGGAAACATGGGAAACTGTACTGTTGGGTTTTCCATTTTGAAGTGGTGAATACCTTTTGGATCCTTTTGGTAATTATATAGTCCAATTGTAGATGATTTCCAGCCTAAAAGGGGAGATTTTCCGATTTTCCGCTGCCAGGTAGTTTGAATGGAGGGACTCCAAAAAAGTGGCCAGGGTTCAGGAAATCAACCATCGATGGACATCATGCTTCACTTGTATCCCCATTTCACCTTCGCGATCTTCCCGTACATGGCGCATTTCAAACAATGTTTGTTCCAATCACCTAGATTTACAGCAAGAATGCAACTTTATCCACGATCGCCACATCACCTGGCTGTGGATTGACGTGATCGAATGGTTCTGATTTGTATGATATGCCCATCTGGAGGTGATGTCCGACAAGAATTTCCCCATATCTGACTTACTCGAGAACCGTAGTTATAGGGGTTATATCCCATTTTTTTGAAAAATGTTATGCCCTTAAAGCCAACCCCCGTCCTGCACCTGCAAGTATACCCTCACGAAGTGGTTGCTGACACCTGTTGCATGTCCAGGAGCTGGCAGAGAGGGAAGCGCTGGAGGCTCCTTCTTGGGTGGTTCATCATCCAAACAATTGATGGGAACACCCCAAGTTATATCTGGGCTAAATTCAACTTGTGATTCCTGGGCTGGTTCAGTGGCCTATGCAAACACGGCAACATGAATTTGCTATGCAGGTTATGTCCCTGGGTTTGGGGTTCCAAGTCTGGCAAAGTCGCAACGAGATTTCCACATCACAACATCCTTGACGTGTGCATCGGGTAGTCATCCAGTTGGGGCATTTGGAGGTCAATGACTCAACAGAGACTGCATGGCAAGAGGGTCTTCATGAGTCGATTTTTTCTGGCAGCTGTTGCATTTGTCACACTGGTTATGTCCGTGTTCGAACTTGGCGACGTCCAATGCGTTGGAGAGCCTTCAGCCCGAGAGATTTTGGTCATTTCCATGGCCAGAGAAAAGGGCGCAATCCCACTGGAAATGCCGCATACCCAACTGGGTACGGTTCAAAACTATTCATATATGATGTATATATATATATAATATAATTATATATAAACCTCAAATACGGCTGGTTAAAGACCATTGATGATAAGTTTTGTGCAGGTCCATTGGCACCCAAGCCACGCCGAACTGGTTCAACCAACGAGTTTCGCCGCTGAGCGCAGGCCAATGATTAAATTCCGGCTCAGCAACCACGGCTCAGCAACTACGGCTCAGCAACTACGGCTCAGCAACCACGGCTCAGCAACCACGGCTCAGCAACTACGGCTCAGCAACCACGGCTCAGCAACCACGGCTCAGCAACCACGGCTCAGCAACCAAACTAGGTTTTCGCTTCAGCAACTACGCTTCAGCAACTACGCTTCAGCAACCAAAACTAACTCTCGCTTCAGCAACTACGGCTCAGCAACCAAAATCTACTCTCGCTTCAGCAACCAAACCTCAGCAACCAAAACCCACCCCCTGTGGCAAGTACATGCACAGTCTCATCTTACACGTCATATCAAAATCCCACCCCCTCTGGCAAGTACATGCACAGTCTCATCTTACACATCATATCAAAATCCCACCCCCTCTGGCAACTACATGCACAGTCTCATCTGACACATCATATCAAAATCCCACCCCCTCTGGCAAGTACATGCACAGTCTCATCTTACAAATCATATTAAAATCGCACTCCCTCTGGCAAGTATATGCACAGTCTCATCTTACACGTCATATCAAAATCTCACCCCCTCTGGCAAGTACATGCACAGTCTCATCTTACACATCATATCAAAATCCCACCCCCTCTGGCAAGTACATGCACAGTCTCATCTTCCACGTCATCTCAAAATCCCACCCCCTGTGGCAAGTACATGCACAGTCTCATCTTACACGTCATATCAAAATCCAACCCCCTCTGGCAAGTACATGCACAGTCTCATCTTACACATCATATCAAAATCCCACCCCCTCTGGCAACTACATGCACAGTCTCATCTGACACATCATATCAAAATCCCACCCCCTCTGGCAAGTACATGCACAGTCTCATCTTACAAATCATATTAAAATCGCACTCCCTCTGGCAAGTATATGCACAGTCTCATCTTACACGTCATATCAAAATCTCACCCCCTCTGGCAAGTACATGCACAGTCTCATCTTACACATCATATCAAAATCCCACCCCCTCTGGCAAGTACATGCACAGTCTCATCTTGCACGTCATATTAAAATCCCACCCCCTGTGGCAAGTACATGCACAGTCTCATCTTACACGTCATATCAAAATCCCACCCCCTCTGGCAAGTACATGCACAGTCTCATCTTACACATCATATCAAAATCCCACCCCCTCTGGCAACTACATGCACAGTCTCATCTGACACATCATATCAGAATCCCACCCCCTCTGGCAAGTACATGCACAGTCTCATCTTACAAATCATATCAAAATCCCACCCCCTCTGGCAAGTATATGCGCAGTCTCATCTTACACGTCATATCAAAATCTCACCCCCTCTGGCAAGTACATGCACAGTCTCATCTTACACATCATATCAAAATCCCACCCCCTCTGGCAAGTACATGCACAGTCTCATCTTCCACGTCATCTCAAAATCCCACCCCTCTGGCAAGTACAGCACAGTTCATCTTAAACGTAATATCAAAATCCCACCCCCCTCTGGGCAAGTACATGCACAGTTCATCTTACACATCATATCAAAAATCCCACCCCCTCTGGCAACTACATGCACAGTCTCATCTGACAATATATCAAAATCCCACTCTGGCAAGTACATGCACAGTCTCATCTTAAAATCATATCAAAATCCCACCCCCTCTGGCAAGTACATGCACAGTCTCATCTTACACGTATATCAAAATCCCCACCCTCTGGCAAGTACATGCACAGTCTCATCTTCCACGTCATATCAAAATCCCACCCCCTCTGGCAAGTACATGCACAGTCTCATCTTACACATCATATCAAAATCCCACCCCCTCTGGCAAGTACATGCACAGTCTCATCTTACACATCATATCAAAATCCCACCCCCTCTGGCAAGTACATGCACAGTCTCATCTTCCACATCATATCAAATCCCACCCCCTCTGGCAAGTACATGCACAGTCTCATCTTACACGTCATATCAAAATCCCACCCCCTCTGGCAAGTACATGCACAGTCTCATCTTCCACGTCATATCAAAATCCCACCCCCTTGGCAATACATGCACAGTCTCATCTTACACATCATATCAAAATCCCACCCCCTCTGGCAACTACATGCACAGTCTCATCTTCCACGTCATATCAAAATCCCACCCCCTCTGGCAAGTACATGCACAGTCTCATCTTACACGTCATATCAAAATCCCACCCCCTCTGGCAACTACATGCACAGTCTCATCTTCCACGTCATATCAAAATCCCACCCCCTCTGGCAAGTACATGCACAGTCTCATCTTACACATCATATCAAAATCCCACCCCCTCTGGCAAGTACATGCACAGTCTCATCTTACACATCATATCAAAATCCCACCCCCCTGTGGCAACAAGTACATGCACAGTCTCATCTTACACATCATATCAAAATCCCACCCCCTCTGGCAAGTACATGCACCTCATCTTACACATCATATCAAAATCCCACCCCCTCTGGCACTACATGCACAGTCTCATCTTACACGTCATATCAAAATCCCACCCCTCTGGCAACTACATGCACAGTCTCATCTTACACATCATATCAAAATCCCACCCCCTCTGGCAAGTACATGCACAGTCTCATCTTACACATCATATCAAAATCCCACCCCCTCTGGCAAGTACATGCACAGTCTCATCTTACACATCATATCAAAATCCCACCCCCTCTGGCAACTACATGCACAGTCTCATCTTACACATCATATCAAAATCCCACCCCCTCTGGCAAGTACATGCACAGTCTCATCTTACACATCATATCAAAATCCCACCCCCTCTGGCAAGTACATGCACAGTCTCATCTTCCACGTCATATCAAAATCCCACCCCCTCTGGCAAGTACATGCACAGTACATCTCATCTTACACATCATATCAAAATCCCACCCCCTCTGGCAAGTACATGCACAGTCTCATCTTACACATCATATCAAAATCCCACCCCCTCTGGCAAGTACATGCACAGTCTCATCTTCCACGTCATATCAAAATCCCACCCCCTCTGGCAAGTACATGCACAGTCTCATCTTACACGTCATATCAAAATCCCACCCCCTCTGGCAAGTACATGCACAGTCTCATCTTACACATCATATCAAAATCCCACCCCCTCTGGCAAGTACATGCGCAGTCTCATCTTGCACGTCATATCAAAATCCCACCCCTCATCCAAGAAAATCGCCGACAAGAAACGTGACTCGCAGACACGTTCATCCATACTCTGGAAGTCAACCCGGCATACCCTATCAATGGCCACTCCATTCATACCTCACCATTTGACAGATTCAGTCTCATGGTACGCTTTATATTTTTTGGTATATGGAAGGGTTTCTATACTTTGGAGTGTGTAGTTAAAAATCCATGGTAGCATACTTTCATGTACTTGCACATCAACCTGGTAGCTGCATGTAGCTGCTAGCTCGTACTGAATCTCCTATGAACTCCAGTAGTGTTGTAGCACTCTCTGTTCCGCTGTCAGAAGTGACTCCCCTCATTCTCTGGTTCTTAGATCCAATAAAAAACCACCCACCTAACTGTAGTCACGAACATAGTGTTTTATGTTTTTCATCCAACTCATTCGGTCATGCTTTGTTCCAAATTTACTGTGGTGACGATGGTCATAGTCAACGGCAAATCCTAAGTGCCAGGATGAGAATTTTGAATGTTCTAGAATAGTATGGATAGTGTTCCTCCTTTCACAATAAAGCCGCGCTCATCCAAGCATTGAACTATTTTCTCGAACATTGAAACCGTACAAGAAACGCGCAAGCAGACGCAGTCACAGCTCCGAAAACCGGGCATGCCGTGCCGTCCTTGCGGTTGCCGTAAGCGCGCTGCCTCCTGCGTCCACCAGCTCGCCACCCAGTTGGTTTCCGGCATCGCTGGTTGTTGGTCTCAAAGCCTTTTTTCGTTCTCGCCCCGTACAGTACTTGGCCGTTGACAAATTCGACAAGTTCTCAAAGGTTTCTAATGTTCTGGTTTTGTGAGTCTTCGCACTGGTGCCAGGTATTTCTTCGACCGCAGATAGTGGCAGATTGTGAAGTCTGAGGCTGGCTTGGTGCAGCGGTACGATGGGGACCAATCTTGTTGATGGCTGATGATCGAGTGGTTTCAATCCAGTTCTGATCCGTGGGATGATCCTCCAAACTCCCACAGCTCTCATGCGGCACACGAGTCAGTTTCAAGAGCCAGTTTGGACAAGTAACATTTCACCATGTTTGAGGAGTGTTTCGGATATGTTTTGAGGCTTTGAGGAGTGTGTATTTTCTAAAGTGAGATCATTGGGATTCATTGGGTATTTAGAGCTGCTTACTGATTAATCTGATTACTGGCTGCCTCATGTTCCCGCTGCGTGTTCCGCACAAGCCAGGGATATGACACCGCTGTGATCGTGGCGGGAAAAGGGAGCCATCGGGGGCTGGTGAAAGTCGGTGTGGCGACACTTCGGTAATGCAAACATGGACAGCTGAGAAATCTCCATCCAAAATGGAGGTTTGTAGCTGGAAATAGCTGGGATAACATACAAATGGGGGATTTTCCAGGTTTGCCTACTGGATGAATTTTGATGAACTCGTCGTTTCACTTGTTAGTTTGCTGACGCTACAGTACGGCATGGTTTCACACTTGCATTCACTTCCGGGCTGAAATTGTAGAGTGTCAAAGATTGACGCCAAGAGAGTTTGGGCATTTTTTTTCCCAGCGCGGTGGTTTTGTTCTTCTGTAGGTGTGCAGTGCAACACCGTTCAATCTTTATGTATCTTTATGTGCAATATTGGGCGTTTCGGCAATTCACAAGATTGTATGGATGCGTGCCCAAGATTAAATTGGTTCAAACATGTGAAGAACAACTTTTGCGGACAATCAATCAATCAATCAATCAATCAATCAATTGGACCAAACTTCCACAGGGGTCAGCACGCAACAGTAGCTGGTTGACGAGAGCATGACGGAAACTTTGATAATTACAAATTACAGTGCTAACAACTTTGATACTCGTACATTGAAAGCTAAGCACAAAGCTAAACGTTGAATCGTACTTTTGCAGGGATTTTCATCTACAGTATACTGTATACTTGAAATATCTTGCAATCTCCGATGAAACCTGAACACATCCGATTTGAATCTATATTTGAAATATAATCATCACCACAATCACCACAATCATCACCATAATCACCATAATCATCACCATAACCCCAATAAGAATCATGCCCAACAAAATTCTCGGAACTGGCGATTTGTTCTGTGGTCCATCACATCACCATTGCCATCCAGCTGGAGTGCCATGTCTCAGGGCGCTGGGCTTCGAGGTCCGAATCTTGGAACGTGGCGATGTCCGAAGTTTCCGAAGTTTCGGGCTTGGGATATGGCAGGGTTGATTCAAAATGGCTCAAACACAGTTTCTTCAAAGATTCTGGATTGGCCCCAAATGAGATTTTAGGTGATTTTAGAGTTTGCAGTGTAATTTTTCAGTATTCACTTACACAGCGACATGGATGACTGTCGTGCACACATATGTTTTGCTGGTTTTGGCTAGGATCCTTGCAGAAAATGACAAACGCGCAAGGATAAGATGTGGCTGGCGGCTTTGAATATGCCCGGATTTTCCTACCAAACAGATGAAATGATTCTCCCTATTGACTTTCATATTTTGGGGCCTCGGGTGGCTCAAAACCTGGTGAGTTTTCATCTAATTTTGCTGGGTTGTATCCAGTTCTGTCGCCCACTTTTTCACCTACAATAGTGGGTCCCATACCGAGTGATATCCTCATGCAATTGGGGATGCACCATTTCACACAGCTTGATGTTTAACAATCTTCTGACATATATTAATCAATGGCAAATCCCAATTTTTGGTGAAACAAACTTCCATTTCTGCTGAATTTCAAGCCTCCCATCTTTGTGGGTCAAATCTTCACATTTTTTGCCCTGGAAATCGCTGGTTGTCTGGCGTTCCCCCGATGGATCCGACCTTTTTCGGTAGGATGCCGTTTGGCGCCTGGACGGAGGAGGATTGGCGCTTGAGGGACCGGCGCCAGCCAGGTGCCGATCGACTTTTTCCACACTTGGACGTGGTGCAGTTCCAGTGAACGAAGTGGATAGATTTCACACGACATGATTTCACCATAGTTCAGTTAGTGGCCCTATATCCCAATTGATAATTTATGGCTGTCTCAAGAATTGCCCCATAAACAAGCCCAAGTGCACTCCCAAGTAGAGATTTCACCAGCTATGGCGATACACTTGGGATATCATCATCATCATCATCATCATCATCATCATCACCATCATCATCATCACCATCATCATCATCATCAGCATCAGCATCAGCATCATCATCATCGTCATCATCATCATCATCATCATTATCATCATCAGCATCATCATCATCAGCATCATCATCATCATCATCATCAGCATCATCATCATCATCATCAGCATCACCTTCATCATCAGCATAAGCATCAGCATCAGCATCATCATCATCAGCATCATCATCATCATCATCATCAGCATCACCTTCATCATCATCAGCATAAGCATCGTCATCAGCATCATCATCATCATCATCATCAGCATCAGTTTCAGCATCATCATCATCATCATCATCATCATCATCATCATCAGCATCAGCATCATCGTCATCATCATCATCAGCATCATCACCATCATCATCATCATGAGCATCAGCATCATCATCATCATCATCATCATCATCATCATCATTAGCATCAGCATCAGCATCGTCATCATCATCATCATCAGCATCAGCATCAGCATCAGCATCATCAGCATCAGCATCATCATCATCATCATCGTCAGCATCAGCATCACCATCATCATCAGCATCATCATCATCATCATCAGCATCATCATCATCATCAGCATCAGCATCAGCATCATCAGCATCAGCATCATCATCATCATAATCAGCTTCATCATCATCAGCATCAGCATCAGCATCATCATCATCATCAGCATCATCATCATCAGCATCAGCATCACCATCATCATCAGCATCATCATCATCATCATCACCAGCATCAGCATCATCATCATCATCATCATCATCATCATCAGCATCAGCATCAGCATCATCACCATCATCAGCATCATCATCATCATCATCAGCATCATCATCATCATCATCAGCATCAGCATCAGCATCATCATCATCATCATCATCAGCATCATCATCATCAGGATCAGCATCAGCATCATCATCATCATCAGCATCATCATCATCAGCATCAGCATCACCATCATCATCAGCATCATCATCAGCATCAGCATCAGCATCGTCATCATCATCACCATCATCACCATCATCAGCATCATCATCATCAGCATCAGCATCAGCATCATCATCAGCATCAGCATCAGCTTCATCATCATCATCATCATCATCAGCAGCATCAGCATCATCATCAGCATCAGCATCATCATCATCATCAGCATCAGCATCAGCATCAGCATCAGCATCAGCATCATCAGCATCATCATCATCAGCATCAGCATCATCATCAGCATCATCATCATCATCAGCAGCATCAGCATCAGCATCAGCATCAGCATCATCATCATCATCAGCAGCATCAGCAGCATCATCATCATCATCAGCATCATCATCATCATCATCATCATCATAGCATGTAACCATGGGATAATTATTCTGGGATACACATGGAATTACAATTGGGCTCAGTACTAATATGGGATTTACTTGGGAGATCTAACCAACTTAACCAGAAACCGGTTCCATGGGCACCAACCAATTAAGATGGGATTTAATGGGATATTATGGGACCAATCTCGTACCAATAATGATAGTGTTTAATGTTTCTTGATTTAACCAGTAAACATGAGAACATAAATGATCGGATAGAACCAACGACATGCAATTTGGGTTTCTGAAAATTAAGAATACGCCAAAATGGCAATTTTAGGGGTGGCAACGATGATAAATCATGGGATTTAGGGGTACCCGACGAAACGGGGAGTTAATATGATTACAGCAACGGGATTCCGCTAAATCAATAGATTGAGCGGAAAAAATACAAGACATGCGAATTGTGATCCCTTCCCCCCAAAAATTCTGCTTGGTGGACAAATGGTGTAGCTAGGATTATTGTACCCTCTAGTAATTGGACATAGCTATTGGAAATGGCCGATTGATAGATGATTTACCTGGTCAAAGTGGTGATTTTCCAGAGCTAAGTTAAATTACCAGAGGGCACTGTACCATTCATACCATTCTTCAAAGAAACCACAATGAACACACGCCCTTTCTTTACGGCAAAACAGATTGCAAACTCGTCTACTTGAAGGTACCCCCTTGCAAGCCTATTTACGATTCCTTAGGATGAACCAGATTTCCATCAGTTTATCTCCGTATTTCCACAATATGTACTATCTTTTCGACCATTTCCCCCTCCAAAACGACTGGTGGTTGGTTCACTTCTTCACTCAGCTGGTATGATCAAGTATATCCCCAAATTTCCCTAAGTCATATCCTCATCATGCCACCATTCTACCACCCATTTTTCTTGGTGAACGTCCCGTCTCGTTCTGCCGCCAGGTCCCTACCTGATCCATGACGAAGCCTCCACGCCCGATGTCCTGGCGAAAGCGGCCGGCGTCGTGCCCGGTTGGATGGTTGCCGTGGGATTCCACTACCATTCAGGATGATCATTGTCATAACCCATTTATATCCCCAACCACCAGGCAGCAATATTAGATTAAAGGGACGCATAATCCATTATAATCCATTATATATATATATGAGAATACCACTAATTAATTGACCAGGCAGTATGAGAGGGACGAGGGTTTGAACACTGTTTGTTTGGTAATTTAACTTGGAAATGGGTTACTTTAAGCAGCAAACTAAGGATCTCACTACTTGATGTATAAACGGTATCAACCAACCAAAGATAGTTATATGATATATGGAGGTTTCCAATCCATGGGGGTACCCCTAAATCATCCAATTTCAGCTGGGGATTTTCCATCTAAAAACCATCCAGCGAGCTTGGGGTAGCCCCATGACTATGGACCCCCCCATAGCTATGAAAAACTGCTTGGGATAAGCTGACTGAACGATCTGCGTTGGATCCATTGGATCCTCCAAGTTGGTTCCGGTGCCCTCGACCTCGATCTCCAGGTTGGATTCGTGGAACCCTTTCAAAACCCATGGGTTGATACAAAACGACGTGGAAAAGCCATGGTTTCCATAACCTGGACCTCATGCCTAAACATGGGCCTATCCTACCGGGGAAATTTGCGTTTTCCTTGATGACCATCGACAAATTGAGAGAAGGCGTGTGGGTTCCGGAGGTTGTTTGCAAGAGTTGGATATGTTTGAGGAATAAAGGGTGGTTAATTAAGGACGTTCCCCCAACATAGTGATGTCATTGGATACTAGAATGGTACATCCCCACAATTAGCAACAACCCAGTGAATAAATGTCGGGCTTGATGTTACTTTCCAAACTGACTATATACTCAGCTCCCATCTTGGTTGCCTCATGTTCCCAGGAACTGTAATCTTTTTGGCATTGGAGTATCCTCGCTTCGGCATGCTGCATGCTCCGCACACGCCAGGGATGTGAAACCGCTGTGAATATCGTGGCGCGAGAAAAGGGAGCGAGGGGCTGGTGAAAACCTGTGGCTACGCTTCGGTAATCAAACATGGAGAGCTGGGAAATCCCCAACCAAAATGGAGGTTTACAGCAGTTCGCTGGGAAAAGAAAATGGGTGATTCTCCATTGCCAGGTTTGACTCTTGGAGGATACATTTTGATGAGATCGTTTTTCCATTGTTGGGTTGCTGATGCTACTGTACCGCATGGTGTTAAATTTGCACCCACTTTCGGGCTGAAGTTGCGAAGTGTCAAGGGTTGATGCCAAGTGACTTGTGAGACAAAATGAACATTTCTATAAGAGTGGTGGCTTTGTTCTTCTGTAGGTTCGCAGTGCAACACCGTTCAATCTTTCTGTGCAATTTTGGAGCGTTTCAACCATTCAAAAAAATGTGGATGCGTGCCCAAGGTGAACTTGGTTAAAAAAGGTGATAAAGACATCCAACCATTTCGAAAGGAGTGGAGCTGACCAGGTTTCACTTTCTCAGCACTCCAGAAACCCAACTGGATGACTCGCTGACTCGTTATTTTCCCTATGGCTATTTATGATGCAGTTCGCAGCTCAAAAGTTCTGATAGCGAATGTATGCGAACGCAAACAGCAAACTCACGATCCCAATGGCAATGATCGTCAAAATGAAAGGAATACACACTTTCCAAACAGGCCGTACAATGTAGCCAAAAAAAAATCACATGTGTCAGAAGTGTCGATCTTATATGTTTTTTTTTGTGTTTTCTTTGACTGTGCGATTCCAGCACAGAGCCTTGCCCGACTTTGGAACAGTAGAGGCAAGGCTCAACTCGAAGGGAAGGGTGGTTTAGCCATTCTGATCACTTCCAATCTTTCCCGTAGTGCATTTTCTTGCTGCGAATATACGTTCCATTGCAGCAATGGGTCCAATGATTTCCAATGTTTCTTCAGCTTCATGTTGCCTGTGTTCTCTATGAATCCGTTTTTCCCAAAACATGGATCCAATTTGCCAGTGCATTTCATTCTTGAAGGTTTATGTATATTATAACCTTTTCAGCAAACAACCTGGAATTTGCAATCCGTTCCTGGCTGCAATAGCTTGTCAGCGCAACTCAGCCCATTTCAATGGCAGGAAAAAATATACCTCTCGCATCCAACCGACAGTGCCACCAGCAGTAACGTCAGACCTACGATTTGAACTCATTTGGCCTACTGTACCTCAAAAGATCCAGTGGATCAACGTAGATGACCAATGAGGTCCGCTACCTCCACTACCTCCACATATATGGGACAGTACACAGATCAATGAGGGGAATCATTGTTGTGTAGATGATGGACCATCTCCATGAAGTCTCCTGTTTTCCTGTCAACAGCTGGGGTTCTCGAGTCGCAGGACGCCTTGGCATCATGGGTTCTGGCGGCTCATCTCAGGCCAGATTTCTCCATGGAAAACCTTCTCATCAAACAGGGAACTGTTTTGGGTTCATACTTCCTGTACAGGTTTTGAGACAGCGCCTTTGCTCTGTCTCCCAGTTACACGTCGACTCCTTCCTTCGTTTTCACTGGTTGAAGAGCTCTTTCAAGCTTCAAATTTTCACTTCAGCCTGCGGTTTCGACATGTTGAACTTTGCTCATGGCGTCACTTTGGGAGTTTCCTTGAGAAGATGCAATAATGACATGGTTGTTCTGCAAGTTGCCGCAGGTGAACCAAGTGGAAACAGCAAGATGTCGAGATCTTAGACTTTCAAAATCAAGCTAGGAACATCTGGGAACTGTGGTTGCAAGGTTTGTTGCATGTGGCATGATTTGTTTGACGCTCTTGGCTCCGCGTTTTGATTGTCTTCGGCTCAAAAAAAGTGCGCCCAGACCACCACTTTTGCACAGTAAGGAGGTTGTAGCACCAGTTTCGGAGTGCAGTATGAAATGTTATTGTTTGGTTATTGTTTGATTCCCGTCGTTTGGTTTTCCGATTCACGCAGGTTGGTTTCCGAATCATCCGTTTTGGGATTCAGAAACCTCTTTGGTTTCCAGGTGACACGCAACAGAAGTCGTGCTTCATGTTTTGCTTCTGCATTTTCTGAGGGAATGACATTATGCCGGCCACCCAGGAGCTCGGTGTCTTGGATCTTTGACGCAGAACATGTTGACATTCCTTGACATTCCTTGACATATATAATCCTGAAACTGTGTGGACAGGAGCACACCCAGTCAATTGACAGCGACCCGGAAGTTGGGAGGCTCAGGAAATTGGACGTCAACTTCTGAAAATGGACAAAGGGTGGTACTTTTTAAGGTCTCCAGTAGCTGCACTAGCTTTGTGGCTCCAAAGTTCTCACATAGAAAGGCTGTTGGTTTGGAGGTTCTTGTCACAGAACTTGGACGGGGCCCTTCTTGCAGCCTCCGAAGTGAGCTCTTGGAAGAGCCAAAGTGCTGCCTCAACACAACATTGTGCGAGAAATACCAACAGAGGAGGAGATTCCAAACTTAGCTTGCGTTCCGCGATTTCTGCATATTTCCACTACATCTCTTCGGTGGTCATCCATTGGTTGCACACGCATCTTCCTCAACACCTCTGAGGTTAAGCCCATGAAGTAATATGTATAATAGTATATTATATACATACTATATTTCCTAGGTCTTCATTCGTACCGCTTTATTTTCCAGTGGGATCAAACCTGTTGTACACAGGCAACTGCAACACTGGAGGTTCTTGATTTTTCAGTGTCAAGCTCCTTGAAGCCACTACATAGCAACTTTTTCAGGCCAAAAGAAGACATAGCAGACAAAGGAGTGAATACATAACCAGAGCTGTCAGTGCATATAGTTTGTGACTTGATTTTCAAACCTTTACATCTTTTTGAAGTGCTCAGAATAGGGATTGTCACTTGGGCTCGGTCAAAAATTCTTGAACTCTTGAAGATTTCGGTTGTACTATCGATTAATAAACAGTATTGATATATACAACTATATACACGTATATTCACATATATATATATTCAAATATTATTCACATATGTTTTCATATTATATTTGTATCCTCAAAATTTATGAGTCTTTTTAGGGCTTCGCCCTGCTTCGCCATGCTTCGCCCAGGTCCACAGTGCGCTGTTCGAGGAGTTGACATATCGCTGCAGTCCTTGGAGTCTGCTGGGATTTTGCCAATAACGTAATCCGAAATAGATTGTAGATACCAATAAAATCCAATAAATTGATATTAGTGATGATAGTCATGACATTATATGATATCTTTCGATTAAAATCCTTATTGATATTGATAGTTACCAGGTGGATTTTTGGCTCGGTCTCCAGTTGTTCCAAAATTGAGGAGATCATGACGTCCATCGACGTGGTCTTCGCACACTTTTCCCAGCCGGACGGATTTCGGGCTGAACGCCTCGGGGATGCCATGCGCGTTCTCGGGATGAACCCCACGGAAGAAGAGGACGGGCATGGCTGCGATTTTCGGGGCAGATTGGGCTGACCTTTGGAGTTTTCATCACGAAAGCTCGCATCTCCTGTCCGATGTGCTTGTTTGCCTTTTTTGCTTTTCTATTTCGATCTGCAATCAGGTCCGCAAGCACTTGGAAGATCTTGGAGGGCCCCAGTACATTGACGAAAGGACGTTTCACCATTTCATCAAGGACTCAGGGTTTGGGATTGGTTCCATGTTTGGCGAAGTTTCCAGGCGTGTTTTTGTTAAAGTATGCTTGATGTTGCTGCCGTTTCCGTGATTTTTGGATTTCAATGATCTTCACCGATTTTTTTAATTTTTTTACTGCAAGCTGCAGCATCACGGCACCACGCAGGATGAACTGATAAAGCATTTCGAGAAAGTTCAGGCCAGATAATGACAGCACAGGGCCCAATTTCATGTGTCCGTGCCTTTTACTAGACTCAGACTCACTGGTACAGTTCTGCGCAGGTAGTGGTTGACTATTTGAAGCAATATGACAAGGACGGCAAAGGTGCCTTGTCCAGGGAAGAATTGCAAGAAGCGATGCGAGGCGCGGTGTGAGATTTGTGGAGTTCCCTTGGGATGGACTGAGTTGATCGACTTTCGGAAGGAACTCGGAAGGAACTCGGAAGGAACTCGGAAGATCTGTTGATTCTCGGGTGCTCCGGGGTCCCTGCAACTTGCGTCCAGGAAGAGAGTGCCAGGAACTCCAGGTGGGAGTTGCGCGGAAGCGACCTGAAATCTTCAAATTTCCCAAGCCAACAAACAGAAAAAAAACGTGTTTCACTTGCCATTCTTTTCGTGTTTCTTCCTCTTCCGAAATTCAAACTCTTAAATCTACTGCATTTTCACTCTTGTACACTTGTAAAACAACACTATGTTTGGTTTTCGCAGTGGTTCAATGGGTTGTTCTTTTTCTTTGCGTGACCTTGGATTCACCACGGATGGTTTTTCTCACGTTCCTTCCAATGTACAACTTGCAGAGTCACATAGACAGCTTGGCATGCGTCGCGAGGCAAGTGTCGCAAAGGTGCCGAGCAACAGCAACCTGGATGCAAACTGCAACTTGATAGTTTGCCAGTTGGCCAGTTGGATGGAACCACACATCTCCACAGGTTGTGGCATCCTTTGCTCGAAATATGGACAAATCCCATCCCACTTTAGGCAGGAAGTGGCCAAAAAAGGTCTAATTTTGGCTTTTTCTGGGCCTTGTTTTTTGTTGAACCTTCTATTTTTCCAATGCACAAGGGCTCAGATCCCAGTTTATTTTGGCGCCTGAGGTCAAGGTCACCTGGACATTGTGGAGCTGGCAAAGTGTTTCTTGGAGCTTAGCGACTTTCAGGCAGGTTGCCGGAGGACAGTCACTTTCTTCGTTGCACGTCTAAATCCAGGACATGAAAACTCATGAAAACAATTCTCTTTATTTCTTTTTCCCCCTAGGGCCCCTTGGTCCTATCATATGTGATTTTGAGTTGAGAATCTCTGCATTGCGCCATAAGTCTAGATATACAGTTGCTTGCTGATCCTTTTCTTCCTCAGAAGATTTGGCACGTATTGCAGACATATTGATCGGGTTGTAATGATGCTTTCAGGTGAAAAAATGCAGATCCATTCTGAAACTGAAGCTCTTTGACTGAAGTTCGGCCTTTAACTTCGCAACCCTATCAATCAGAGTAAATCCACTTCTGGTTGTGCCGGCGAATGACATGTAGCAGTGTACTCATCGTGGCTTAGAAACGGTCACATTTGGCCAAAAAACATGTAGCAGTGCAACAGATTCCTCACTTTGAATGTCAAGAGTGGCGTCATGCCGTTTCCTTAGTCCAACAAGAAGAAGGGCTCAACGAAAAAGTGAACAGTTTCTCAACACTAGACAATCAGATTGTTCTGAGACTTGGGGAGCCTAATGCACTTCCTTCATAGCTACTAACGCTTCTTTATTGGACCATGTTCAATTTCTAAAGCTTTTGAGCGGGGAAGTGTGGCGCTTTTCTGACGCCATGGCTTAATCAAACAGGGACAAGGGCGAGGTGACCCTTTTTCGTTTTCATAGAATTAGTGATCTTAAAGCCGTTGGGAACCATTGATCTTAATTAATTTCTGTCTTTCTAGTTCAAAGTTGAGATTGTAATAAATTTCCTTGCTTAGGAAAGAGTCATAATGAGTCTAGGAATGTGCTGAGATAGCTCCCCAACATGATTGCAAACGCAAAGACAACGAACGCCCCTTAGTCCATGCCCGGCAGTTATTATGTTATTGTTTAGTGTTGATTTGAACGAAACACTGTAAAACGGTAGTGTCCCCCCAAAAAAAGATGACTTCTATTTTTGTACCAGGCGTATCCAGGCGTAAACAATTGCACTTCAGTGTGCTGTTTAGAAAAAATCAAAACATATTTTATGTAGGTGTTTTGAACGACTGTTCTAAGTTTTGATTGGGAGGTCAGGTTGCGGCCATTTGCTTTCCAGCTGTCTGGTGGAAATTTTGTCTTTGAATTTGGTGCCGTTGGGCGGTCCGAAAGCTCCAAAGATTTGTTTCGCTTCAAATTTTGACCGGACACAAACTGTGCACTTTGGCACTCCCGAGTCACTTTTCGGCTTCATGGGTGACAAGGTTCGCCATGTTGCAGATGGGGTGTCCCTCCCTGCTTTTAGGCAGACAAAACCGGTTCTGAAAAATGTCAACGAGGTCCAGGAACTCAGAGTTTTGAATCAATCGTGGAAGTGTGTCATACAGTCCTGATACATCTTGTCAATTGGCCGAATCCTTCCCCGCTGCAAGCAGATTGTTGCACCATGTTTGAAATATGCAGTCTTATTGAAGCGCATCTGGTGGTAGGGTACAGCTGTCCTCAGACTTGCATGAGTGGACCCCATGTATGATGTCATTTGGATCTTGGAAGGTGATTCACGGTGAATGTCACCTGCAGTTTCTAAGGCAAGGACACCCAAGCTGCCGAGGACAGCGTGGCCCGGAAGTGGAGTGTTTGTCTGTTTAGTTGACAGGGCAAAGAGTTCTCAGACAGTTTTGACGTTTGATATTCAACAGACAATCTCTACCTCTGAGTTGCCTTTGGCAAACAGAGCATATCAGAGCATCACAACATGTCAATACTCGATGTCACTCGACATGATTCTGACTGCAGGAGAGCGTGGGCCCAGCAGGAGCCTCAATGTGGGTTGTGCCATTTTGTGTCAACCTTGACGCTTCTTGATCTCTGGATTCCAATGAGAAAATAAAATAGAGCCGGACGGTGCCCAGTGCGAGCAACACTTCTTTGTCGAGAAAGTCTTGTCATAAGGTGGTATGTGAAGGTAGAGCTTGATCGGGGTTGGTTATGTTACGTTTCTTCTGTAGAACGTGCTTTACCGCTTTCACGTCTGCAATGCCACAATATGGGAGGCGTGTGGCAATTACAGTAGGTTTGGAAAGGAAGGAATGTGGGCAACTCTGCAGTTCTTCCATGTTCTGCGGTTGCATAAAAAGTGAAACAGCTGCCCATTTCAGAACATTCGTGACTCTGACCTCAGCATCTCTTGAAATCTCTTGGTGTCCTCGTTTTCAAGGCCTACTCCGCACTGCTCAACCAGATTTTGGCCTCCACAGATGCTGTGTTCAAATACTTCTCCAAACCATCTGGACTTCCGGCTGCACGTCTCGGGCATGCCATGGGTGTTCTTGGGATGAACCTCACAGAAGATCAGGATCCTTGGCAGCAATTTTTGTTGTGTTTTTTGCTTCCCTGCTATCCTGTTGTGTTAATCAGTGAATGTTTGTTCCTGCTCCTGTTGAAGTAATTCTTCCGCCGCGATCAGGTCGAGGAGCGTTTGACGTATCTGGGTCGTCCGGAGTACATCGACCACAAGATGTTTCACAATCTCATTGAGGACTGGTATTCTTTTTCCTGAAGCTTATGTTGCTGCAGATGAGAAGGAACATTTTTTCTCAGAAAGAAAAAAACTCTCGAATTAAAGCAAAAAATCAATACAGCTATGAACAATCTGAAGTTCTGCGATTTCTTGTGATCGCACGAGTTTCGATCTCCGCATGTGCAGAGATGAGAGGCCTTACAAGGCCGTGACTTTTTCTGCAAGCTGCATGGTGCAGGAAGAATTGAGAAAGCCGATTCCAAAAGTTCAGGCCAAGTGATAATTCATCATCAGGGGCGCGCCAATCAAGCTTGCAGTCAAGCTTGCTGTGTTGGGATTTTACTCTCTTTTTCTCATCTCGTTCTGTGCAGCAGATGCTTTCGGAGACTCCGTTTCTCTGTTTGGCCAGCGTGTATGCGCAGGAATTGCTAGACTATCTGAAGCAGTTTGATAAGGACGGCAAAGGTGCCTTGTCCAAGGAGGAACTACAAGAAGTGATGAGAGGCAGGATCAGATGTGGTTGGGATTTGAACATATTACGACTGCTAGGAGGTCAGAGAGGAGTTCCCATTTTAAGAGAGATCAACACAGAGCTGATGAAATGTGGAGTGGTAGACACGCTGTGAAGGAAGGATGCCTCAGTGTCTATGGCTCGAACGCTCCGACCTTTTGCTGCGTCCAGGAAGTGAGCTGAGCAAGGACGAAGTCCAGGTGGGAGCTGCAGCATGGAACTTGTGATGGATATTGTAGGTTGTAGTTACTGGAGTGACTGGAGGCTGTCAGGTGGAAGCTGCAGTACCTTCAAAGTCTGTCAACATCCCAGGTATCCTAAACCCCTAAATATGTGATTATATGTATATACAGCACACATGCGTGAAGTCCATCCATTGACGTCGTCTTCTTTGACGATTTTCCCTACGGCCGGTGACATGGCGAGGCCAGTCTTCTCAAGATGCCGAAGAACAGCGCCCGTGTTGCAAGCCAATCCTCTTCGTTTAGCGCCCCACAGATGAGAGCCATCATGAACCATGGTCTTGTCATGTCTTGTCATTTAACTTGCCATGGGGAAACAATCCATGAGGTGCACTCCATTTCAGATTTCAAGAAAACGAGTTGTGTTGCCAATGACAACTATGAGATACTATGAGTATAGCCACCATAGCCATCTATAGCCTATGAGGTGATGGTCACCTCGACATCGCGAAGCTATCCAAGTACTTCTTGAAGCTTGGCGGCTCTCAGGCGCGGCGGTGTGATGTGGTGGTAGACCATACACTTGACATCACTTGACAACCTGTTGCATGCCTGAATGACATGTAGACCCGCTCGTCAAGTAAGCAATTTGTTGCCTTCCAGATCCTGATCTCGAATATCAAAGTACTAATGGTGTTCGGCTCATCTTTGCAGATGAAAATCGACAAAAAAGAACGGAAGAACGGAACCTTCTCGCCGTCCCGACAGGTTGGAACTGAGACAGCCAGGCGGGCTGAGAGTTGTGCTTCTGACCGAATACTTTTTTCGCCTTTGGGCTTGGATATGAAGTTTGTATGGGAAAGGTACTTTTCTTATCTACTGAATCTACTGCCTTATAGCTGATACGTCATGATACATTGCAATGGGAAACCGGGTTTTTTAAATGCAGCGAGTGCGCCGGCACACTCGGCTCACTCGGCACACTTGACCTCTCCAAGAACCCGGGTTTTTAGACGTAGCAAGTGCGCCAGCACACTCGGCACACTCGGCACACTCGGCACACTCGGCACACTCGGCACACTTGACCTCGCCAAGAACCTGGGTTTTTAGATGCAGCAAGTGCGCCGGCACACTCGGCACACTCGGCACACTTGACCTCTCCAAGAACCCGGGTTTTTAGACGTAGCAAGTGCGCCAGCACACTCGGCACACTCGGCACACTCGGCACACTTGACCTCGCCAAGAACCTGGGTTTTTAGATGCAGCAAGCACACTCGGCACACTCGGCACACTCGGCACACTCGGCACACTCGGCACACTCGGCACACTCGGCACACTCGGCCAGGCGCGCCAAGCGCGCCAACACCCACGCTCGGCACGCTTGGCACGCTTGGAACGCTCAGAATGAATGAATGAATGAATAAATGAATGAATGAAATGAAATGAAGTGAAATAAGGAATGAATGAAATGAAAGGAAATGAACTTAAATGAAATCATGAATGAATGAAATGAAATAATGAATGAATGAAATGAATGAAATGAAATGAAATGAAACGAAATGAAATGAAATGAAATGAATGAAACGAAATGAAAGGAAATGCAACAAAACAAATGAAATGAAATGAATCGAAATGAAATGAAATGAAATGAAATGAATCGAAATGAAATGAAATGAATCGAAATGAAATGAAACGAAATGAGTTGAAATGAAACGAAATGAAACGAAATGAAATGAAAGGAAATGAAACAAAACAAACTGAAAGGAAATGAAATGAAATGAAAGGAAATGAAACGAAATGAAATGAATGTCATGAATGAAATTAAATGAAACGAAATGAAACGAAATGAAATGAATGTCATGAATGAAATTAAATGAAACGAAATGAAACGAAATGAATCGAAATGAAATGAAATGAATCGAAATGAAATGAAATGAAATGAAATGAAACAAAGCGAATGAAACGAAATGAATCGAAATGAAACGAAATGAAACGAAATGAAATGAAAGGAAATGCAACGAAATGAAATGAAAGGAAATGAAACGAAATGAAATGAATGAAATTAATGAAATTAAATGAAACGAAATGAAGCGACATGAAATGAAATGAAAGGAATGAATGCATGAATGAAAGAGCGAATCAACGAATCAATGAAAAAATCTGACACTCAAGACTATCCCTTTCCGTGGGTTTTTACATCATTGTCACAGACTATCCATGTGCCATTTGTTTGACTTGTTTGGATCCTAGCATTTGTGAGACGTCACCTCATGATAAGATAAACATCCAGACGATCCCTTGTGACATTGTTTGTGTTTTCTGCTAAGTGGCATTTAGAAAGAGGTCAGTTAAGGAAACGAGCCAAAAAGTGGCTTACCAGTGACACGCAAGTGACACGCAGGTGACACGCAGACAGCCAATCCTTAAATGACCTTTTCAGGGTCCATCTCAGTGACACGCAAGTAACACGCAGTGACACGCAGAAAGCATGTGATCAGCCAGGCAAAGAGGTCACTCAAAGATTTTGAAACGAGGTCACTTATGCATGATTGATCTTGTAAGTGACCGTTTGGCACTTTGGGTCTATATGGCTTCTATTAGAGGGCAGAAGTAACTGCCTGGATGTTGTGTCTTAGATGATTATTCCAACTATCTCTTCGTTGAACTTGGGCCATGTCGAGCGGCAAAGCCACCTCACAGGCTAGGGGGGTGGTTCGGTGCCGGAAGTTTGGTTCATGTTCCGGATGTTCCGCTTGGGATAGGTAGCAGGCCTTTGCACACAAAGAGAGCACAAGATTTCACAGGCAGTGGAGATGCTCTGGTGTGACCAGAATCCGAAGGCACAGAAGCATTCTATGCCTTCGGATTCCGGTCACACCAAAGCTGTGGGCTGCTCAGAAGCATCTTATTTGTTGATGAGTTTTCAAATATTCTCGTGTCTCATCAACGTGGTCCATCAGCATTTCATTTCATGATTAGTCCACAGGTATTCCACATTGGAAAGCCACAACCTTAGTACAAAACCATCGATGTTTCAACATTTGGAAGTCAAGTGGCTCACAAGAATTCATTAATATAATTTCATCATCCGAGGTATTTGCGGCTTCGGCGCGTTTCTGTCAGGCTTAAAGTTGCAGGGTGCCGTGTCCATGCAGCTCTGCAAGGCTTCCTGCCCCGGCTTCATTGTGACGCTTGGAAGACATGCTGACATGGGATCGAACGGAATTGAGGACATTGCAAGTACACCCACTGGATACCAGGAAGAGTAATCGGAGTGCTGAGTGCTTCACTGCTCATGTTTATATTTGTTTGACATTTATTCGAAACCAAACCTCATTGCCCTTCAATCCGTCAGTGAACCAACGGCTCATAGCCCAAGCTAACAGCTTAACAAAGCCACAGGGAGCAGGCCGTAGCTCTCATTGCGCGCAAGGGATAGTACCATTTGAAATGATAGTCAATTTATCTTTTCATGTGAGGTTCTTCATGTTCCTTCCGAGCCTTACTGTCTGCTGAGTCTATGGGCGCCAGCGTCTTCCGTGCTTGCCATGTCTTTAAGCGACGATCCAAGCTCATGCACACGAGCTTTCACTGTGCAGGGGCCAAGGATGGCCGAAGCAATGGTGAAAGGCTTGAAGCGGGTCGAATCTCGCCCAAGACCGCTTTTTGCACCGGGGTGGTATTTTTTGCACAAGGGCAAAAAGACAGGCTTCGATGAAGATTATGCTCAGGAGTTACAGAGCCTCTTGCCAGAGCATAGCTCAGGATTGATGTCCGAAGCTGCGGCAGAAGATGGCTGCAGTACAGGGGCCATTGTTGGCATGGTGTGTATTGGAAAGCAGTTGAGATACTCCGACCTTCCTAACCATCAGTGGGTGCAGGAAAGCCGACCCGTGGTGTACGAGATCACACAGTGCATGCAGTTCACCGCTGGGGTGTCACTGCCAGGTCAGCAAGGTGTTTGGCATGTTCGGGCCCCTGAGGTCCAGGACAGCCTTCGCAAGGCCATTGGCAAAGGTACGCTGCACACCTGGTCGGATCAGTTTCCAGCTTTGTCTGACACGCGGAAAAGATCGCCGACCCAGAAAGCAAAGACACGAGCTTCAAGACCTTGGCCAAAACCGTTGCCTAGAAAGCGACGCTCTGATGCCGGTACACATCAGTGCGCCCCGGACCTTGTGAGTTCCAGCAAGCGCCAGCGCCTCCATCTTGGAGATCCTGCGGTTGGCGCGAAGCGCCCGGCCAATCTTCCTGTGGATGCATCATCTTCGTCCTCGGCACCGACAAGACACGAAGAGCAAAGCTTGGTGCAGCGAATCTCAGCCGGTCGGACGCTGCCACGGCTGCTCGAACTCATGGACATGACATTCTTCAACATCAAATGTCCACAAAAGGCCGGGCGGGCTGTAATGCACGTTTTCAGACCAGTTCCATGCGAAACGTTTTCTTCTCAGATACTTTTAACATCGCTTTCCAGGTGGGTCCTTTGGAACCTCGAAGTGGATTGTTTGCGCAGGTGGCTGGTGACAGCGTGTTTATTTTGAATGTCTTTCGAAGGCGAGATCTTGATCTCGCAGATGTCATTCCTCTGTGCGCTTCTGAGCACAAAGGGAAAGCGGTACACAAGGCACGTGGAATCAGCAAGGAGTGTCATGTTGGAAATGGTGGGCGTTCAGAGATTGCCATGCTGGAATTTTCCTCTTCCATAACTTTTTCTTGAATACCACAATAGTTCAAACATACGGCTTTAGAGGCGCAATTTTTATTATCAGCGACTTTTGTCCCAGCACCCTGAGGCAAGATTGGCTGAGTGTCGGACTGTCGCCAAGAGCGCTCTGTCTTCTATTTCTTTGAGCTTCCGCGCGTTGCAGGGCACACAACGCCGAGGCGCAAGCCTTCTTTTTGAGAAGAGAGACAACTCCCCGGACGAAGA